CCGTACATCCTGCTTTAGGACACAAAACCCGTACCCGTACACAGGCGTACACAACCGTACATCCTGCTTTAGGACACAAAAACCATACCCGTACAAAAGCGTACAAAACCGTACATCCTGCTCTAGGACACAAAGGCCGTACCCGTACACAAGGGTACAAAACCGTACATCCTGCACTAGGACTCAAAACCCACATTCGTTTGTGTATACATGGCTTCCCTGTCTTCTTGACTGACACATGTATTAGGATGTGTGCGTATATACACGGTTTGAGGTTTTGTGTCCGTAGGATGTACACTGGAAGCACACAGCTTGCATGCATGATTGCAGAGCTGGGCCTGGGATCTGGGACGGTCATTTAAAATTGGAGAAGTTGGCTGAGTTGTGTCAAACTGCTTCAAGGCTTCGTGGTATGTGAAAGTATACGTATTAAGTCCAGAGTTAGGCTTTATTCTTAAGGCGTACGAGTATACACAAACAAGGTGTCTAGCAGTCGTAGCAAGGAAGATCAGAAGCTGGGCCTTTATCCTCAAATCTCTACTATATATGAAACCTGACCGAAACGTTGCCCGGGTGTCAGGGTTTCGAGACTAAGCCCCAGTTACCCGGAAAAGAAGACACTTCTTAATTTCATAATATATCTTTCTAGAGAGTCCTAGCCAGGCTACCGAACCAAATGCATGAAAGACTTATTAACCCAGCTCTGCACGAAACATTGGCAGGTCGCATCCGACTGAAGCGGTCAGCAGCCCAAAGCTTGGAGTACGAGTGGCTTTAGGGCTAGGGTACAGCTGCTCAGCTGAGCAAGCTGTCCTTTCAATCCAGGATATCTACAATCAATAGTTTATGACTAGCATCTATGCCCACAAATAATATGTAGCAAGACTACTGGAGTGGAAGATGCCCGGGGTATATTCCCACCTATAGGTTAGGATTAAAAATTTTCGGCGGTCTGTAGGAGTTGGGCTTTGGATCTCACAGCAAGGCTCTTCTGTCAGATTGGAAACCACGATCCAACATAGAGTCCTGCGGGCAGGCAGGTAATGATTTCCGAACACCGACGTGCGTCGGCCTGGCTGTGGCACTCGAGCTCGCTTTGCAACGAATCATGCCAATCGGTCCTTGCCCTTGCCCCCCGTGCTTTGCCACCCCTGGCATGTGTCGTAGGGATATAGAGGCCATGTCAAGACCAGAAGGAAGCGGCCGGGGGTTTGTTTTGAAGCGTTTCGTAATTCTAGATTTTGTTTGCGGGACGAAGCGATAATCCTCTGCATGACCACTATAAGTCTAGTTTGCTACCAAGTAGCTTAAGGATGGGGAATCCAGAAACCGGGCCTGGACTCGAAACCACAAAGCCTCGAACCTCAAGATCAAGGTTTAGCGTGCAAGCTGGAACCAAACTCCCGACATTATGGTAGTACTCAAACACGACACCCCAAACCCCTTAAACCCCGAACCCAAAAGCCGAAAAGAGTTTGGGCCCTGTGTTTTGGATCCCAACCCGGCGTATGAACCCGGTCGAAGGTGACCTCTCCCTCGGCTTCGATAAAGCACTGCAGGCTGCCTCCTCGATCCAGGGTCTAACTGTTGAACCAGGAAAGGGGGTCTCGATAAACCGGAGGTTCGGGGCGGCGGACAGCAATTACGTGCAATGGGCGGGGGTGTGATCTAAAGGGCCCGGGGCTTCCTAGGCTCTTCGAGTGAGAAGAAGTTCATGGATGAAGGTTCAGGATATTTGGGGCTGAGATTATTTTTTAAGGTTCAGGGCAGCGTGGAGAGGGGCACGGGTTTCGGATGTTTAGCACTTAGCACAGGTTCAAGCACCAACAAATTTGATGAGCTCGCAGGCTCATATGTCCTACTTCAGAAAGGCTTTGACTAATAATTAGCCCGATATTCAAGAGTAGGCTAGCTGCTACGAGTAAAGCTCAATGAGGCTAGCGACTAGTCTTACCTCGGACAGTCAGGATTTCAGGCTGTGGGTTAAGGGCTAAGATTTAGGTTTCCATACCAAAAAGAAATATGTGAACATTCGCCGTGTAGCAGGATCCTCATAATAGTTTGAACAATGCAAGTACTAGCGGCAACAGTTACAAGAAGGAGGAAGTCTAGGCAACTCGTCCATAGCATAAAAAAAGGTACTTGGATCCGACAGACACGTCGTGAAAAAAACCCTGGTCCTGGGTCCTGATCTAGATCGAAATGGCAGCCCCACCACGTCCTGGGCCGGGCGACGGAAGGAGTACGGGACCCTAAGAGTCTCAACCACTAATCTGTTGGGAGAAAGACAATCCCCGAGTTATACCATATATTAAGTCGTGGTTAGATTTTTGCGAAGTGAACTTTTGGGCAGGATAAACCCCACGAGTGCAGCTCGGTCGTGCGAAGCCCCAGGATACCAACAATCCACGAACAAGGCATTCCCGTAGTTCTGTGGCTCTACTTTCCATACGTGACCTGATATATTTGCATCAGAGCCCCAGCACCAATATATGGATATTCGGGGTGATGGGGGTTGCGACTGTACAGAACCCAAGCTCAACTGCTGCAAACTTGATTGGAGTACATCCTGCACTAGGACACAAAGACCATACCCGTACAAAAGCGTACAATTTCGTACATCCTGCACTAGCACACAAAATCCGTACCCGTACACAGGCGTACAAAACCGTACATCCTGCACTAGGACACAAAAGCCCTACCCATAAACTATGGCGTTAACTAATACAGCAGCAAATCCGCCAAGACACAACACCTGTATCTCTACAAAAGCTTCTTGTCCAGTAGCCCTAGGAGACATCATACGAAAGCGTACATAACCGTGCATGCTGTGATTAGATGCTTGGACAGAAAAACCGGCCCTGGTATAGAAGCCTAGGGAACGTTTCCTCTTCCACTGCTAGCTGGGATATAAAACACGTGCCAACACAAATTAAAGCGTTCACTGAATGTAGAAGAAAGACACAAAGCGAAGCCAGGAAACCTTTGTCGATGAGCATCAGCTCGAAGCCAGAGCCATTGCGGGGCACCTTGGTTTACGGTTTGGGGTTTAAGGTTTGGGTTCATTTGAGGACGGGACTAGCTGACTAGCTATTGTATGTCAGACCGGGCACAGGATGAGGAAGAGCAGCTCGCCATTGTTCGGATGTCCCAATTGCACTCCAGACGGAGTCTTGGATCTAGTTTTTGATATCCCTTTATCGTCAACCTATGCTCTATAATTAAGGTCAAACCATCAGCTCCTATGCCTATCTCGGCGTGAAGGCCTGCGAAAGACAGGGGTTTGCATGCAAGGTTTCGACTGCACATGAGCATCTGAGTCAGCTCTAGCAGGATCAACAGCAGTGCAGTGGCATGCGGGGCACACCTCTGTCATCGCTCTCGCAGGATCGCTTGCGAGCTGAGGATGCTGAAGCTGTACCTGCCACCGGCTGCACAGCTTATGTACCGTACCGTTACATAGTGTCCATACAGCCAATCGCAATATTATGAGTGGCACTGTGCGTGCAGCTGTTTGATCGCAGTAGCATGTATCCGTCTGTCCCAGCTATAGCTCGATCAGAGGGCGACCCAGCTGGAGCGGACTTTGAACCATATAGCAGCTAGTGCAGCCTAGGTAATATCTTTACACTACATATTACTGGGAGCCAACGGATCGTCTGCATCGATCGTCTGCACCGGAAGGCACGTGTAAAAAAAGGCGAGCCACGACTCACATGTCCGGGACCTGCAGGGAAGTTGAACTTAGGGTTAAGTTTAAGCGAAAGGTTTTGATTGTTTTCGGTTGCGAAAGGGGGTTTTAAAAACATATGACACCTACTTCCGGGCTGTGATGATTACCTAAGTTATATCAGAATATTGAACCCTACCCTTAATATATCAGACCACCCCAGTCTCATACTTCAGACCCACCCACATATCGACACATAACCTCCGAGATGCCTTGACCTTAAAGCCTTGCCCCTAAATCCTGTCTCGACTGGTACGGGTACGAACTCGGCCCGGCCTCGTGCAGCAGAAATGCCACTGCCATATCGTGACAAAAGATTTCAATTTCTGTCTGATCAGTCATCGTGCTGAGGCCCTGCTCGGACACATATGCCAGGAACTTTCGCTCGGCTTTGTCTTTCGCCATCGCGACTTTTCCGGACAAATGCCTTAGACGGTTAGTTCTCCTAAAAAGATTGTTTCCTTCGGAGACAGCATACCAACAATGGACGTATGCAAATGATGGTAAGCGATATTTCGCCAGATCCGATAGTATAAAAATTTCACTCACAATATATTTCGGCATATAGCCTTCACAAATGTTATTCCAGCACAGCTAATCACAGGACTCGCTCGCACCTCAACTTTTTACTGAAAGGCGGGGGAGAATCGCGGTGAAAGTCGAAGCCCACAACAGACCGATGCCACAACGGGTATTTCCCAGCATCAACAGTCCTGGGCGCACCCTCACCCCCACTTTGGGTCGGGCGGGTGGGAACAACAAAATTTTGCCCCACCTCCGGAACTTGAGAAGTCAAGGCAGCACGGGGCAAAATTCATCATCCATGTGACAAGTAAACAGCACAAGCTCATGTCACTTGATGAGGAAAACCTCTCTCCAGAAATGAACTTCGTGTTTTAGTCACGCCCCAAAACGGGCACTAAAACAAAAGGCGAAAGGAAAAACTTTTTATGGAGAAAGTGACGTCGTGAAGCACGAAACTTCCTTCTCCTAAAAAGATTGTTTCCTTCGGAGACAGCATACCAACAATGGACGTATGCAAATGATGGTAAGCGATATTTCGCCAGATCCGATAGTATAAAAATTTCACTCACAATATATTTCGGCATATAGCCTTCACAAATGTTATTCCAGCACAGCTAATCACAGGACTCGCTCGCACCTCAACTTTTTACTGAAAGGCGGGGGAGAATCGCGGTGAAAGTCGAAGCCCACAACAGACCGATGCCACAACGGGTATTTCCCAGCATCAACAGTCCTGGGCGCACCCTCACCCCATCTCCTTTCTGCGCCTGCTGAACAAGAGAGACTCGAGATCGGCATCAGTCTCGAAAGCCCGGCAGGAGCTGGTATTGGTAAGCTGCAAGGCCTCCTCGGGTTCGGCCCGTGAAGGGCCATCAGCGATATTCGAGAAAGAGGGCACACGCTCAATCCACAAATATGCTGGGTGACTCAAGTTTGGATGATCCCAAGCTTGCACAAGCAGATTCATGCTGTGGCTGCTGCTGCCACCCTTGATGGATGTAAAGCGGGCTGCTTCGTTGTCACAGAAGAGGATGATCCTGCGGTGAGTCCATGCTTCCTTTCGAAGGTGCCTGATAAGGGCCATGGCGTACAGCTCTACCTGCGATATGATTTGCTCCTGAGTGTGGTCCTCAGTTCTCAACCACTGTGCAGTGATCCTGTTGGGGATGCGACCTGCCCAAACCGCACCCTTTGAAGCTATGGGATCCCATTCGACAGCACCGATGCCTGCAATTCCCTTTTCCCAAGAGCCATCGGTCCACACCAGAATTGGTTGGCGCACACGGTTGCACATTAAGGTACGGGGTGGAGTGCTCTGAAGGATGAGGGAGATGCGGCTGCCCAGCTCGTCTAACGAGTCCTTAGCTGAAAGCCAATCTTTGTTCAAGAGTTGGTTCAAGTCATAGGCCACATGTCGCAGGGCCCGTCCAGCAAAGAAGCCGGAGGCGAAATTCAAGTGTCCGATGAGGACCTGCAAGGATTGCCTGAAGCTCCCATTCCCGAGGGATGCCGTTGAAACCTTTTCAAGAATTTTCTCCGCCCTGCCAACCTTATTTGCAAGAACTATCTTACCCGACAAGATCTCACCCAAATCTAACCTAGTCCCTAGGACGTCGAAGGAACTGTCAAAGGGCTTGCCCTTTGCCCCTGACTTTGCATGCCTCCACCCCAGCAAGTCCAGCAGCTGGGACACGTCCTGGTCCACGGATGTGGCGGACGATGTTGGGTTGAATAAAGGATAATCGTCGAAGTAGCAGGCACATGGCACTTTCAGGCACTTGTTTATTATCCACCACAGCGATCGACTCACCCTTACAAATGCAAACACTGATGCCGAGGCACCGAACATCAGCGCATTGCAAATGTGGTAAGTTGCAACACCATCTTGATCCTGGATCATGATGACACACAGGTCACGATCCCGCGGATGGACTGCCATTTGTTTATATGCCTTTGAAAGATCTAGGCACTTGCCGTGCCACGGCGTGCGCCTGTCGGCCTTGATGCCCTGCAGTCGCTCGGCAATGAAGAGGGCCATAGATGCCACATAATCTGAGTCGTGAAGCTGCAGAGCAATGGTGGATGTGTAAGCCGCATTGATTTGCGCTTCCAGACAGTCATCAATGGGACGGACCTTTCGACCTCCATCCTGGATCAGGACGAACCTTCGTACCACTCCCCAATCTTCGTGACCGAAGAAAGCACTGACCTCTTCAGCAGTCATGCCCTGTTGGAGGAAGCCAGCATCGACCTCCTCGGCAGTAGCCTGGGCTAGCAGAGATGCATCCTCCTCAGAGGGGAAGCTTCGCCCTAAACCCAACAAGCTGTTCCTGCGATGCCGGGCTGAGGTTCTGAGTTCCTCCTCCAACAGGGATGCAGGGGAGACCTTCTTTGCAAAGTCCTTGGGATGCTCTTCACACCCGACCAACCTCACTCCCTCCTTCATGAAACGGACACAATCAAGGTCGGTGTAGCCTGTCTCTCTCAAGAGTTCTTCCCAGGCCAACAGGTTTTTGCCTTTAAGAACTTCCTGCATATATTTGGGCATGCCTTGGTGCAAAGCGTCCTCACGGGGCTGAAGGCGGCGAATCTTTTCTTCCAAGTAGCCTAGGAAGGATTTTCTCTGCTCGGCAAGGGTATTCGGGTCTACCTGCAAGGAGGCATCGATTGCTGCCTTTGTCACCATGGCTACCGGCCTGGTAGTATCCATGGGGTGAGCCAAGGATTCAGCTTTGTGAAAGAACTCGCTCGGAGAGTGCCAGAAGCCCAAGGTAATTGCCCCAGAGGATGAAGGTGTTTGATCAGCCACATCCACCCCCTGAAGCTGGCTGGCAGAGAGCACCTTTGCACCAGTCGGGATTGGACTGTCCACGGGGACCTGCACAACAGACTTATACTCTGGGATAAGAGGCTTGTGGCGACGTGGCTGGACTCCAACGGACGCCAATGACTGGTCATGCAAGCGGACGGCACACGGGAGGGACTTTCCGGCCTTGCTCATAAAAGAGAGCAAGGCTGCGACCATACGCCGACACAAGTCGAGAGGGTATGCAGCATCTTCAGCCACCTCCAAACGAGAACGAGAGAGGGACCAGGGCTTATGCTCATGTTTCTTGTCGCACAAGAGGGCAAGGCAGTCGAAAAGGCCCGCAGTACATTTAAGCCGCAGGGGCCTAGCACGGGCACCTCCAAACATGCAACAGTGTAGCTCAACCGATTGCAGGGCTTGCCACTTGGCTGACATTTCAGGGTCCTTTAAGGCCTGGGCGAAACCTGTCAGGATTTGCCACAATCGAGAACCAGGAGGGTTCTCGATGCAAAAGGGGACGCCCTTGGCAAGGCAGAAACAGGCGACCTCAAAAGCGAAGCGATACATCCTGTTGGCTTCCTCAACGCGTTTGGCCTCAACACTATCGGCCTTCAAGTCAGGGCAGCCCAAAGGGTGTTGCGAAGAGCGCAGCCCGCCTGACGAGGAACCACGAATGGTGGCGGTGTCAGAAGGCAGGCCCAGATGGACAAAGGCCGGGCAACAGGATTCAAGAAGCGACCACACGAAAGCTTGACCAGAGCGGGTGGCCAAATCCGACTTGCAAACTGGTACAAGGCTGTGAGCTAGCTTGTGGTCAACGGACACAACGGTGAAGCCAGCTTGTCTTAAGCACTGCGAAAGCCGCCCCCTCCCCGAGAAAAGTTCCAGGGCAAAAGGGGTTTCACCCGCCGAAGCGGAGGGCGGACCATCCTTGGGCACAGGAAGGGCAGGATCAGGATTAAACCCTAGAGGCACCTGGCGCCCCTCGGGGGATGGGGCAGGACTAAACCCTAAAGGCCCAGGGCCAAGCCCCTCGGCGGGTTCAGGACCTAAGGAAGCAGGAACCACAACCGGCGGGCACCTAAGGGGCAACGCCTTATGACCCGGCAAGGCAAATCTGGCATGCAGAAGGGAGTCACAGCACTTGCTTGGTAAATTTTTGAGGTCACGAACCGTGTACGACACCAGAATCACTCTTGTACCGAGCCAGGGCTCGGTCCAGTGCACGACCTCTCGCGCCGCGAACCGCAGCATTCCATCACGAAAGGAGATAGCGCGGCCACGAAAATCGCGGCCCTCATGGGTGATGTGGTGCTCCCCTTCAGGGTCTTCCACGATGACTCTTCCGCCTGAAAATTCAGTAATTGCAAAAACCTGATTGGTACTATGTTGGCAATTGTGCGAATCTCTGTGCGGAGCCGCCTGATTGTTGCGAAAAATGGCCAGTGAAGAAAATTTTGCCGTCGGTGCCTGCTGCCTTGCATACGATGCCAGGAGCTCAGAGGTCCATGGAAAACGTGTGAGATTGTTGACCACTGAACACATGGTTCCGTGAATGAAAGCACCAGTGACGAAGGCCTTGGAAGCTTGATCAGTCCCTCTAGGATTATTCCCTTCAGGCAAGAGCTCGAAAACTGATAAAATCACTGATTTCTGAAGGTTTCCCTGCAACACTGCACTGCGAGCCAAGGATTCGGCCGGATGGAGACCTGAATTGGTCTCAGGGGCCCAGTCGTTGGCCTGCAGCGCCGCCGACTGTCAATCCGTATGGGTGCATTCAATGAAAGGCTTGTCGCGGTAACATCCTTTGAAGTAACACTGATGGAAACCCCTGTTGCAGCGCTTTCCTTTGCCCTTCCACTTACATTTTCCCTGATTCCACAGGAAACACAGTGGCTGATTCTTGTCATTGCGATCACAACAGCCCTCGGGAAGGTTGAATCGCTTGGCGGGATCCTCTTCCTTATCGGTGCCCTTTCCACCCTTACCGCCCTTGCCCTTCTTCCACGCGCGACTCAAGAAGTTCTTATCAAAGGGCAAGTCCTGACCAAGGGCTCGCTTCAACGAATCAGCCAAGGCCTTACCCCCCGGAGGCGGGGGAGGGACATGCGGCTTGGGCATTGGCACGAGGTACTGGGATATCTCGGGTGAGAACATCAGCGTGACAATCTGATTATCAAGCGGTGTCTTGTCTCCGGGCCGACTGGCCCTGAGGTCTGCAGGCAAGCTCTCGGCAGCAAGCATGAACAGACGCTTGTCTGCAGTCACCATCTGCCTCAACTGGATGGGCGCATACCCTTCCGGGACCTCGCGTGCAAACAATGAAAAGAGATGATGAACCCACTTCTCAACCACTATGAAAGTGGCAATTCCTGCCATGTTCTGCTAAGGAAAACCGTTACCCTAGACAAAATCCTAAACCCTAAACCCGAGAACGGAAAATGAATGCAATCCGAAACTCGGTTCACTCATTTTCGATGGGATCGCAAAGATCGGCTGTGCAAGCATACAAACGGGTTGACCCGAGGATGCCTTCTGTGGGGTGGCGACTGTTGCACCACCCCACGGACAAAAGAACTACGAGTGAAGCTACAACACTTGAGTGACAGCTTCAGACTAAGGGAGCGACCAGAAGGGTCCTCCGGGACTGAGCAGTCCACGCTAGAGCAGAGGCTACAAGCAAGAGGTGACCTGCAGACTACGGCGGTGAAACGCATTGGGGCCAATGGCGGGCCCAACAGGGAGCACCGAACGACATGGTGCGGCAGCTGCGCGCTGCCGTGTGCAGCATTAGAAGAAGCAATGGTAATGTGAAGGCAGCAGCCTGCGCAAGCACATTGCCCGTGGCAGGATGCCAGGGGCAAAGCACAAAGTGAGAGTGAAGGTGCAAGGAAGGATAGCACGTTCGGTAAAGGCCGGGCCTAGCGAGGCCGGCGTGCACGCAAGCGAAACCAGGGCGGGTCGGGTGGGAAATCAAAATTGCGAAGCGACTTCGCTGCAACTTGATCCAAAGCGGAGTGCGGATGCACAGAGCTTCACGACATGTACCGAGGCAAGACGATGCAGGCACTGGCAAAAGCGAATAAAGGAAAACTTTCCAGTTTTACCAAAAGAAAGGAAACCGTTTTCCATTTGCAAAACACCAGTGGACAAGTCCACCCGTACGTTCTGCTAAGGAAAACCGTTACCCTAGACAAAATCCTAAACCCTAAACCCGAGAACGGAAAATGAATGCAATCCGAAACTCGGTTCACTCATTTTCGATGGGATCGCAAAGATCGGCTGTGCAAGCATACAAACGGGTTGACCCGAGGATGCCTTCTGTGGGGTGGCGACTGTTGCACCAAGGTAATTTGCCACCCCACAGCACGCTCAAGAAAGCCAAGGAAGTGTGGGCTGAAGGGGGTGGCAGATTTCAGCGAAGCCAAGGAAGGGTGAAGCTGGAAGGGAAAATCTGCACCTCAGGACAAGGCTCCCAGAGAGCAGAGAGCCCAAAGCGTATGCGCTGGCATGGAAGGCAGTCTGGAGGTGTGGGGTACTCAGCCGGCCGGCTAAGTGCGTCGGCTTTGCAGTTCTTGGCACCTGGGACATGAGACACATCGATAGAGATGCGATGCATGGCCGCCAGGAGGGCGATGTGTTCAAGAACGAGGCCTAGGGGAAATTTGGTGGAAAACATCTTATTCAGACCTGCCTCCGCCCCTGAGTTATCGCAGAGGGACGGGAGGCGTAAAGGAACCCTGCTGCAAGGAGCCAGCCTAGAGAGAGCAAGAATCAGCCCCGCCTGAGCCAGGGCTTCACAACTGGCTATCTCCTTAGCCAGGTCATTGCCGAAAGGAACGCCTGCTGCTTCAAATTCCTGGACTGAAAAGGTTTCAGTGAACCAAACCTGGCCTAGAACCGGACAAGAAACAAAACCCCCCAAACTGCAAGATGGGCCGGACGCCGATGCATCGGCGAAGGCCTCAACGTCTGCAACCTGAGATGGGCGCATGCTGGCGAGTGGTGCCACGTGTTGCAACCAACGCTCGAAGGCCTGCAACGAGCGGATGGAGGCACAGGAGAGTTTCCGCCTCGAGCTGCTAAGGCATTCAACGCGGAGCCACAATCTTTTGTGCGTCACGGCGACTTTGGACAAGTCTGCAAGGGTTGTGAAAGGCACATGACGAGCCGAGAGGAGCTTAGCGCCCGCGGGGATGGCAGTGTGAGGAGGCGAGGCCTTAAACCTGAGTGAAGAATCAAGGAAACTACAGATGCTATGCCACGATTCCGGAGCAATGCTGAAATTAGTGGCAGCCGGAGACCAAAGGTCTTTGTAGAAAGGGTGCATCATGGCACGCATAGTGGGGAAGAGTGCACAGGCCCACATGGCAAGGCCCAGAAAGGATTCCAGTTCCTTGGTGGAGATACGGCCCCCGCCCCTCAGAAGGGAACGCACTTGTTCAAGGAGCCGCAAGCGTTTTTCTTCCCTGAGACTAACCGTACCCGAAGAGAAGCACAACCGCCATCCAATCCAATTGACCCGGCAAGAAATTTGTAATTTTTTCCAACTGACTGGAACGCCCAGGATCTGAAGAAAGAGGCATATCACAGCTCCCGAGAGCGGCATGAGGCTGGCCGCTTGGCTGAAAATGAAGTCGTCCACGAAAAGGAGGCCCACATGGGCCAGGAACAGCAGGGTATGTAACAGGCGCAAAGTGCACCCGCCCACGCGACCCCACCAATGCTGTGAGAAAACTGCTCCGAATGGGCAGCAGCGAAAAAAGTATAGCGCGTTGTGCCAAGTGAAGCCGAGCAGGCCCTGCTCGGAGTCGCGGATGCGGCAGCGCTTGTGCGCCTGCTTGACATCAATGCAAATGGCCATCTGGCGGTCGGAAGTCTCGCGAATCGGGAAAGAATGCGAAACATCGTGTATGCTCGGGAAACATTGACGTTCCGGCACTGTGCACTGAGAATTGGTCCCAGCTACGCTGTTGTCCAACACGAGTCGTTCGGCCCTCCCCGGAGCCCTAACAACCCCCAATTTCCCCAGTGCTAGGCCAACGGGCCATCTACTTTTCGCCTCCTCAAGTGTGCCTTCAAACTTAAAGCAGTATCCCGCGTCCAACTCCTCTTGAAGCAAGCGCGAAGTGACCTCAGGAGCCACATCGGCCGACTTCCAGTTTTCAAGATTGAGCGCCAATGGAATCAGCTCCCCTGATTGGCCTTTGGGAGGCCAGAAACAGTTGGAAGGGGGGATGTCATTCAGGTACCCGGTGGGCACACCCATACGCAAATGCGGAAACAGATGAATGTCCTGATCGCCACAATGTTGTGCCAGGGCTTCAAATGCGTGCAAGCACATGGGTTGGTATGGATGCACATACCAAGCGTTATCCGGGGTCTGCATACCCAGCGAAGGAAACACCAGATCCCTGGCTGCGGACACTTCGGAAGAGCTGAAAAGCGGTTCATTGGACGGGCAGGAACCGCGAGCAAGCAAGCGTTTGTCGGCTCGAGCTGAGATGCAGAATTGCAACAGGGCTTTGCGTAATCCCCGAAATGCATCATGGCTTGCAGGGCTGCTCCAATCGGCAATGGAGCGTTTTCCAGCACCATCATGAAGTGCATGAGGGCCTGCGAAAAGGCCTTTGCGTGGGATAGACTTGATGACTGACTGCAGGGATAGCTCGCGGCCCTCTGCCGGGAGCAGAGGGGCAGCGATCGTGGCAAACGAAGATGCAAATGCACTTGCGCATTGCGGGGGAGCGAAGGCGGGCGAGCTGACCGCCAGGGCGGAAAGCGGGCGGTAAGAAGCAGCCAAAAGCTGGGGCTGGCACGGAAAAGCTGAGTCTGAGTACAGCAATGGGGGTATCAAGATCAGAGCACAGTTCCCCTGATGCAGCCAGGCCTGGGGCCGCTCAGACGACCAGTAAGAAGAAGTGGGGGGCAATTCCAAATGCCCTTGACCCCCTGCAGTGTGTACAATGCTGAGGAGCCAGGTGCAACGGGAAACCTTTGCCGCCGCCGTTTGCTCGTGCATTGCCGATAGCAGCCACGAGGAGGAACCCACGTCGTCAGGCGAGTCTGCTGACTCGGCTAGTGGCGATGCTGCAAGATACGCGACCGCTCCCGAGCCGCAAAGGAAGAGGACCTGCTCGAGGAGGTCTGGGCAAAGGACATCCAGGGTCGGGTCAAGGCTGGGGCTTAGGGTGAGGGAGTTTCCACCTGAAGCACGGACAGCCATGCTAAGTTGATGGCGCGAGTGATTGTTCCATGTGATCTCGAGAAAAAGACGCGCCTGGAGGGAAGAAATGCAAGTATCAGCTCGCCAAGCGCCCTCCGGTGGTGACAAGGGGCGTGCAACCCTAAGCTTGTGGGAGAGAAACAAACCTGACGTGGAGCGTTTTCCCCACAGTTTGCATCCCAGTGGCAGCTTAGACGATGCCGAATTGGAATGGACTGTATGTTCCCTGCTCGACTGAGGTTCGTGCTGCTTAGTAGTCGAGACGGCTTCGGGACTCCGGGCATTGGCTGTGCTGAAGGGAGATGTTGCGCAGGAGGAACATCTGCGGACGCCTCGGAGGCTGACCCAGGGTTGCCACTGGATGGAAACTCCTCCTGAATGTGCGTCCCTGCTAGTAAGTGCGATGAAGTGATGTCGGCTTCCTCGAGCCCCGCGGGCGAGGTGGGGGAGGCAGAGGGACTAGGGGCAGGACTAGAACCCAAGAGGGGAGACGGCAGTGGGAAACCCAGAAACTCAAGTTCGGCACAACACACGTCAGGCAGGGAAAAGGCTGTGAGGGCCCAACGCTCTCCTGAGAAAGGAAGTGTCATGTGTCTAATGCGGCCATCGAAGCTAATGGCTTTGCGATGTGTGTCGATAGCACAGCCATGCAGCCAGCCCGAGCCAGATGCAACTGATGTCGGCTGGCCTTGCGAGAGGCAGGAGAGGTCCTCAATCCACAGATGGCCACCCGAGAAGGCGCCCAGCGAGAGTGACAAATTGCGTGAGCCAGGAATGTTCGCTGAGTCGGAATGCAGCGCACTGAGGCCATTGCGCGAGACACACAAAGCGTTCCAGTGCTCGTTTGGAAAGAGGAACCTGAATAGGGCATTCAGGTCCCTGCAAAGCTCAGGCAGGGCGATGGTGACCTGAGTGAGTGAAGAACGCCTAGAAAGCTGAACCCCGAAATTAAAATAGCCTGAAGCAGAAGAGGCACCGGAAATGATGTGAGCACGGCGAACCTGTTGGGGCCAAGGGGCTTCCCGCAATGAGCACAAAATGCAATCGAAGAGGCCTGCCAAGGCCGGCCCACAGAAATTGGAAAATTCAAGTGCGTGACCCAAAGGGGCGGTACCGCTGGCGGGCGGAATCGGCGCAATGGGAGTGCTTGAAGTGCATGTGGAGGGGGCAACGTCCCCCGAAGGCACTGAACCAGTATGATGCACGGAGGGTACGGCCTCCTGAGGCGGTGACACAGAAACTGTACAATCGGCAGAGAGGGGTTGTGGCGGCAGTGGCGGAAAGCTGAAGTCCAAAACTTGCGAGCCCCGGGGGGCTTGCTGTTGCGATGGTGGAATCGGCGGTGGCAGTGGCGGGGGAGCAGGCAGCTCCCCCCAGCTGTGGATGGACCCGGCAACACCTGTGGGTGGCGAGTCGGGCGCATGATGTCACTTCTCAGGGTGCTGAGGCGCACCGTGGTCCTTGCTAAGGCAGGGTGAACCATCGGGCTTAGGGAAGGCGCAGCCGTGCGTGAACTCGCAGGAGTTGCCACGCTGGCATTTCCCGATCTGCCACCCAATGCACAATTTTTTCACCTGGCCGCCCTCCTTGTACTCGCGAACCCACGGAACGCCCCTAGGCTGGGTGCCTTGCTTGGTGGGGCTCTTGGCTTTCCCCTTTCCCTTGCCATTGCCACGACCTGGCGGTGGGGTGGGCGGGCGGTTGTCACGGCCGCCCGGTGCATACGGCCTACGATTGCCTGCCGAGGCAGCTTTGGCGCGGGGCTGCAGCCATGACGACATATCGCCACGGATCTCCGTGAACTCGTAGATCGCATCATTCACCTGCCATTCTTTCTCGATCACAAGTTGAAAGATGCACGACCACAAGTGTTTGTCCGCCTGCTGAGCTTCCAGCACAGAGGGGGGCCGAAGGTTTGTTTCTGGCGGGAATTTTTGCGAAACCAGGCTCAAGAACTTAGAGGTGTAAGCTTTGAGGCGCGCAAGATGCGCGGTGCCTGCAAGAGCGAGGGCATTGTCATGCACCTCCAACAGCCTACGGATCATTGAAATCCCCATGGTGGAATCATTGATATCAATCTGTGGCGGTTCATCAAGCAACAGGTCCGAAAGCTGAAGGGTCTCAATCCTGGCCCTTTTTGCGGGCTTCTGCATGAGGGAATCCTCATACATCTGTTGCGTCATGCGACTCTTCCACGGGATCCAAGACCAGTTCTTCTTAACCTCGGCGTCGACAGCAGTGCTCAAGAGGCGGAGCGAGGGGGTATTCATAGCCGTCAAGATTTCGGATGGGAAGGCCTCCAAGAAACGTTTTTTGAGTGTGGCCACCCGCGTTGCGTCAAGCTTGGGCGCGAAGGCTTCCGACCATCCCGAGCCCTGCTTGGCCGGGGATCCCAGCGGTTCTGCAGGAGCAGGATCGTTACTACCGCGTCGCTGCAGCGACGACCAGACGGCTCGCAGCTTGGCACGCTGCATCAAGGACACTTCAGTGTCCGGGAACATCTCAGGGAGGACCCCCGCAAGCTCAGATTCCTGGCAGACAACATGGCGAAAAGATTTCGCATCCCAACCGTCGGCGAGCAGCCGATCCGTGAGCTCCTGGCTGATGCCGTGATCCTGAAGGAGCTGATTGAAGCTTGAGGCTCCCTCTGCTTTAAGCGGGCACGGTGAAGGATTCACCAGATTGAATGATCCATCCGCGGATTTAGCATCGAACAATTCATCTGCCATGGTGCGAGAGCAGCGGTCGGCAAAAACTACCGTTCGGGCCTGAAGCGGCTGATCGAGGGCAGACCCGTGTCCTGGCAGGTTCAATGCAAAGAAAATGGAATGCACGAAGAAAACATGTGCAAGCAGAATGCGAGCGCATACCGATACAAGACAGAGGCAGCAAACTGCACTTTTACTAAGCTTCCAGAGCAGCGAATGCATTGACACAGGCATTTCGCCTGCAGAGAACATGTTTGGAACTAAGAGAGTGGACCGACTGCCAACGTGGGCCCGACATACCGATGCCACAAAGTGTCCGCTCACCTGACGGGCATGCGGCGTGCACAACGCCTGTTGCGGCGACCATGTGCACCTCATCTGGGGGGCCGAGCGACGCGGGCCCTGCCTCGGGCTCAAGACTTGACTCAGATCCAGCCTCCGATGCGGAGTCGGGCAAGGAGGGCTCGGCAGCCTTGGTGCTGGCCTCTGCAGCAGGTGTTTCCGCAGCACATGCCGAAGATTGACCGGGAACCCAGGGGAGCGACCCGGGGACACCAACATCGAAGGAAAAGAAACCCCACGGTGCAGGATCGATCTCTTTGCTGAAGGCTTCCAAAGTAAAAGGGATCGGTGCCATAGGCAGCTGTGCTCCACGGTGCAATGGCGTCCTTGGGCGAAAATCCGCCAAGACAGCAGACCTCAATTGTGTCTGAGCGCGGAGCGCCCCTAGCACGTCATCTCTGCTGTAGAGTTCCCTGCTACTCCCCCTATGATGTCCTTGAGCGTCCCTGTCTGGGCCGCGGATGTCCGGCACCTCAAGCATATAACTTAAGAGGCTACACTTCATGGAGTGCACCGTATAGTTAGATACGGGCACCTCGGGTGGAGACACCATCCAAGGAAACTGCAAGTAATAGCGCAACCAGCGCAAGCATGAAGGGTAACTCATCGGCTCCAGGGGCCGGAGCAACTCGGCGTCATCGTCCAGTGCCGGAAACAGAAAGCTAGGAGCCACCCCAAAGTCGCGCACCTCCTGCGAAGCGATGGAATCAAGAACCCGGAGCCACCTAGCCACCCAGGAGTGTGTGCCATGATGCAAGAAGCCTTGAGTGATTAGGCCGAAGGGTTGGCCCTGATGCGAAGTTTTCGTCTGGTATGCAATGGCCCGAAGCGAAACCACGTCGAAAGCAAATGAGCTCCATTCGATGCGCTGGCTGTCAGCAAAGCGAAGACTCGCCCAACATGTGACCAAAAAAGCACCGAGCAGTACTATGTCCCGCACTGGGGTGGAGCGCTGAAGGATGCGCCGTTCCCACTGCACAAGAGCATACAGCGGCAGGGGTAGGCTCTCCCTGCGGTCCTTAGGCAATTTGGTCTTCAAGAAGGATGAAATCAGCTCGCCAAAGAAAACCTCAAACACAATGCACTGGGTGTTCTTGCAAACCCACCGTACGGCCTTGATGCAAGTGATTGCCGACGATCCGACAGTCGGATCCTCCTGTCTTTGAAGCTGCAAAGTGACCAAGATGTCGGCCGCTTGCACTGCAGTAATCTCAAGAAGACACACATCCAAGTCCTCACAAGCTTTAGCAAAGGAGTTAAAGGTAGTGATGTACCTGATGACAGTCGTTGCGGCAAAACCTGCAAGTACACGGCGCACGTGTGCATCGAAATGCACTGCTGATTGGATGGCGGAGAAAAAGCTAGATTCAGACCCCAAGAAGGCAAGAAGCTGCAGCATGAGGTTCACAGCAATCTGAGAGCAGGCCGCTGAGTGTGCACGAATGGCCTGCATCCCGCGACCATCCTGCTTGCTGGCGCGCGGGCGCTTGTTCGATACCGACACCACCATTCCTTGCGGATTGGGCAATGGAGGTGCCGCCTGAAGCTCAGGCAAGGCCTGAAACGGCGGTGTGAAAGGGGCTGCGCGGGCCGGCAGTGCCGGGGGCCTCAAATGCACGTGCCGATTCACAGGTGGGCAGGGAATGCCCGACTCGGGGAGGGGCGGTGCGGACCTAAACCGAAGATACCCGAAGGAGGGAGGGGGACTAGGCCTAGAGCCAACCCCAGGCAGTCTACGATCAGCATATGGGCCACCACGTGGCCCGCCCAAGCGAGACCTGTCATCAGGGTCAGTGGGCCTGGAGGACATCTCGCAGCAAAGCCCCTTAATCCAAGGAATCCAAAAAGCTCGACCCGTCCGGGCAGCACGGCCCGTCAGTGCAGTCCGGTTCACCTTCAAGCCGAGTAAGGCGCTGTTGCAAAATCACAAACTGGTTCTGCAGCCTAAACTGATTCTCAAGCAGAAGGTCAGCACGCTCGTGCAGAGCAGTCAAAGCTTCAAGGGTGTCGTCCCTGAAAGATTGCAGTGCTTCGATGAAGTCTGATCTCGCACTATCGACCTCCTTTTTGGCTTCCACAGAGGCACCACGAACCAAGCTGAGCAGCGAGCACTCAAAGTACTGACGGAACTCTTCAAGCTCAGCACGGGACACCATGCAAGAATGACAGATCACTCAAGAGGCAAGAGGTGCCTGCCATGCACCCCCCCCTTGTAGGGGGCGATCGCTCTACCCAGGCCACGAGGAGCTAGAAGCCTTGGAATTAGCCCCCGGAGCCTACTAGACAGCACTACAGGACTCTAGAGAGGCCCAAATCAAAATTGCGAAGCGACTTCGCTGCAACTTGATCCAAAGCGGAGTGCGGATGCACAGAGCTTCACGACATGTACCGAGGCAAGACGATGCAGGCACTGGCAAAAGCGAATAAAGGAAAACTTTCCAGTTTTACCAAAAGAAAGGAAACCGTTTTCCATTTGCAAAACACCAGTGGACAAGTCCACCCGTACGTCCATAGCCAGGGACCGCCGCTGCCAAGCCGCACGAAGCTTGGAGTCAGTGCTAGCTTCACACCTAACCTCTGCCGCCTTGGAGTTGATCTTAATCTGTCCATCCGGCATAAGCTGCAATGCTTTATCCTTTTTGTTGCTTTGCATCTCATCTGCTCGTGAAGCACACTTTTCAGGCGCCACCCATGCAATGGTACCCGTCTCAAGCTGATCATTGAACAAGTCAACTAGATAATGCGAAGGGGTAGTCTCAGGTGTGTACACCAATCCTGTGATCCTAGCTTGCTGTCGTTGCGACCTGGCCAACCGCTCCGAAGGAGGGAGAAGCTTTGCAGCGGGTTCCGATGTCGGCTGCATTTTCTGTCGAATCTCACCCATTGACATGGTTTGACTTTCGAACAGAAGCTTCTTAAGGCATGTCTGCTGCTGTTCAGACGGGACCGTTGTTACCCAAAGTCGCTGGACCCACGCATCAAAGGTTTGGTCAGTGATTGTGTGGGGAGAGGCACTCACACTAAAGCACAGCTGACCGAAGCTCGCGACCCCCGCATGCTGAAGCACCTCCAAGTTGGCTGTTGACAGTCCCAACCGCTTGCACCTTTCAGCAAACTCTGCGGCACTCTCAAGGGCGGAGGAAGTCATGATGCGCCACCTGTTGTAACACTACTATGTTGTTGACTGCAATCCAATCGTTCCTGACAAGCGCACACTTCGTTTGCATGTATGTCCATGTTTCTCATGCGAAAAACCTTCACTCAGGGGCTGCGGCAAAGACATCCACATGACTGTTCAAACGATCTGACTTACGGCAGCTGGCACAACGACCCTACGCAGCATTCGCTACAGGCCATGCCAGCACACACCAGTCACAGATCAAAACAGCCCTTTCTTTTCAGCCGCCTTGGCTCGCATCGATGTCGGACCCCCCTTGGGCCTCGAGGACCCTGAAGCATTGGATGCAACAGGACGGGTTTTCTCCTAACAAGCTACCTCGACGGAAGGGCTTATAGTTTCCACTGATGATCCGCCCGCACAAGAGAGTGGTTTGATCCCTCTTCACATGTGTAATACCAGACACAGAATGGACGGTGCATGTAGACCATGGGACCCCGCGAAAAACTTCTCGTTCGGCAGGGCCGTCCTCCTGTTCAAGCTCTCTTTCCAAGTCGATCGAAGCATGATCGGAGTCGTCCGACTCCCCGGCCTCATCCATTCTTTCGAGCAGCTTGGATGTTGGAATATCAAGCCGGCTCGAGCCCCTGTCAGTGCCCTCTTCAAAGGACTGAGCCATAGCAGCAACACTAGCAGCTCCTGGCAAGTCAGGCTTGAAGCGCCCTTGCTGGATGGTGGAAAAGACGGCCAGCACCTTTGCATACAGCTTCAGGTAATATTCTCTGCTATAAGTCAAAGGAGATTTGCTGGTCGGATCCAAATGATGTCCAAGCGCACGCTGTTCCGGCTCAGTGAAAGGAATGATCGTGCTGCGACCGCACCAGGTAAGGACGGTAGATTTCATGCTGTGGCTGCCATAACCCTGGACTTCTTTCAGATCGCAACCCATGGCTATGAGCGCCTCCCTGAGGTAGTTGGTGGCCTCCGCAGCCCCCATTTCAAAATCACCCCAGTCATATTTTCGCTCACTCCAGGTTGGGAGGAGGAAAGCACCTCCGGCCTGCAGCCCCATTGCCTCACGGGCCTCCATCCAGGCCTCAGCCCAGGGCACGTTGCTCACCCCTTTTCCCAGGGCGACGTACGGCAAAAGCCGCGTCCGTGCTTCAGCAGAGATTGCCGTTTTGGAGCCAAGAGCCCCAGCCACAATCAAGACCACTCCACTTTCATCATCACTCTCCAAGGTCAGGCTCTGCACCCGTTGACTGTCCGCCCATCGGGCACAAGCATGTGCGCAGAAAACCAACTGGCCTACCACACAGGCGCGGTGATCCTTGTTCATGATAACGAACTGCTCCAATAGGGACAAGTGCTCCACCGACAACGGGGGCCGTTGAGCTAAAGGAGCCTTTGTTACATGCATGATCCTCACAATACCCAGTACTCTGGCACTGAATACTTCCTCAAGGTCAAGCACTTGAAACACTGCAACGCCATGAAGAAACCGAAGTGCCTCCACGCAATGCTGACATGATGTGGCTCCCGCTCCTTCGCTCTGTAAGTGCGAGAAATAAGCAAAAAGATCAACCTCGGAGCATCTGAGAGGCGAGATCCCTCTGCTGCAGAGAATCCACTTGCCAAAACGGTCAAGGGATCCTGCCCTCTTTATGAGAGAGCCTGAGGCACTCTTTGCAAAGGCACAGGTGAAGGAATATGAAAGAGCCTCATCATCAGCTAGGCTTGCCGCCTCCTTCGCCACTACCATTCCCAAAAAGGTGGTGTCCGGATCATACATGATGAGGGCTCGCAATCTCTTTATGGCGTGCTCCCTCCTATCGTCAGCCGGTCGTTCAAGATGAAACCGCTTTAGCCTAGCCCTAACTACGCTCGGGGTCCCCTCAAGAAAGGCTGAAGATGAAGGCAAGTTCTCAGGCGGCAGCTGACCAGCCTCCTCGGAACCGTAGGAGGCTTGCACACTGCTCCTAAGGGCGTCGTCCAACATGTTTCTCTCGGTTCCAAAGATGCAGGCCCAGGCTCCTTGCTCCCAGGGCAATTTGGGCAAGTCTTGACACACTCGCCTGAACTTAGCCTCCTGGGCCACCTCGGCCCACCGGGCATCTTCACAGACACGCTTGAAGGCTGGTGGCTCGACGGGAAGAAGAGGGTCCTCTTCACAGCTGACTTCGACCTCCTCTCTGTCGCCTTCAGCCAGGGCCGCATCTAAGGAATGATCTCGCACCGAATCATACCAAATGTCCTCGGGGTCAAGAGACCTCTCACGTTCCCCATTTTGAACCATGTCAAAGGAACCTAAGTCCGAAGTAGGGTCCCTAAGGTCGGGGTCGTGTGCAGGGTCGTAGGCTATGGGACTAAAAGGCTCCGACAGCCAAAAGGAAGGATCCTCGTGGCTTTCCTCAGGCACTGCAGCAGGGGTAGTCGGGCCCAGGGGAGCCAACAGGCTCCATGCATTGACACTGGCTGCATCATCACTAGGCTCCTCCCCCTGAACAGAAACCGAGTGATCAGGATCAGCCCCATTGATGCTGGAGGCGGCCTCGTGGCCTGCTGCAGCAGGCGACGCCGCGCCGGACGCACCTGTGGACAGTTTAGGCACCATGACGAAGGAGGTTGGGGTGCCGCAAAGCCAAGCGATAGAAACTGGTGCGGGCAGGCTCCAAGACGAACAATGCACTTTGCAGAACAGCAGCTCTGTCAGCAGGACAAATGAAGCTGAAGACAAGCGCCAATGCACGGGGAGTATATGCGATATCCCCTAAGTCAAGAAAAGCCAAAGAAGACCCGCTGTCGTCGCTACAGCTGGCAGCACTCAAGGGATGCAGGCTTGCTTCGAGACGAGTCACTCGAATCTGCAGAAGCGACAACTGATCAAGCACCGTCTCCTCAAGACGGCGCAGCTCTGACGGCCGGGCGATGGAATCGCCAAGGCTCGTGTCGTCGTCGCTCATCCACCCCCCTCTTTGGGGGGGCGCCCGCTCCCAACAACAAAATTTTGCCCCACCTCCGGAACTTGAGAAGTCAAGGCAGCACGGGGCAAAATTCATCATCCATGTGACAAGTAAACAGCACAAGCTCATGTCACTTGATGAGGAAAACCTCTCTCCAGAAATGAACTTCGTGTTTTAGTCACGCCCCAAAACGGGCACTAAAACAAAAGGAGAAAGGAAAAACTTTTTATGGAGAAAGTGACGTCGTGAAGCACGAAACTTCCGTCAGCACGGAAGGCTTTCAGTAGCTCACGAGGGCCGTGCAATGAATGTGTTAGATTAAAATCAAGCAGGACACTCCTGGAAAGCTTGAGCAGCAAAATGAAATCTCCAGAGAAACGGCGTGGTTGTCGGCGGCGGGCGACCGGCGAAAGTCTTGTTGGGCTCCTCCGGAGCCTTCTTTCCTTTTTTCTTCTTCTTATCCTCCTCATCAGCCGGAATCGTGTCCCCGCTGGCCCTTTTCTTGGCATTGCCCTTGGAAGTATCCAATCCTTGCTCCTCCTTTTCCTAGGTTGGGACAAACACTAAAGAATGCACACCCAGCAGATGTTGCAATCTATTGAGAAGAGGGTCGGCGGCAACGGCATCTGGATGCACAAAATTTCTCTGCTCCACTAAAGCTTCCATCGTAGCCAGATCGGTTTCACTGGAACTATCATCCAACGTGATGGCATCCTTGGCTTATGGAAAATTGAAACCATATGATGCTACTCGATATTTCTGAGTATTAGGCATGCTTAGCCCCAGACGGACCCAAAGATCTTCAAATGAGCCTCTGCGTACTTCTGCTGGGCAGCCTGAGTTGGATTCATACCACCAAAGAGCAGGAAGCCTTTTCCTGAACCCAACTATCGCCAAGAACCTCCCGAGCTGTAGTACATGAAGACGAGCTCGGCACCGACTGCCTCAATGGATATATTATCCCAGAAAACTTCCACAAATTTGCAACAAGACCGCTAAATAATTGCAACCAATATTCGGCCGATTTATCGGATCTCCAGGCGGATCGCGATCTCCGGACTCACGATCTCCATCGCCCGCATTGGGCTCACGATGTCCATCGCCCGCATTGGGCCCACGATCTCCATCGCCCGCCTTGGGCTCACGATCTCCATCGCCCGCCTCGGGCTCACGATCTGCAGGATCGCTAGACTGCGGCTCCTTGGACTTCCACTTCGGTCGAGGTTTCAAAGCCGAACGTCGGGGCTGTCGTGGCGGACTGGCATCAATCATCTCTGGAGAACTCAAGCATCCCATCAGGTCCTCAACCTCCTCAGCCGTAAAACGGCTCAAGTCACCAAACTGCTCCTCCAGCTTTTTGTTCCTTAAATGGTTCCGAATCAGTTTCCGTGTGCGTGCTGCGAGTTTTCAGCTGGAGACCGTTTGCGAATCCAAGCGACCTCGTTGCAGGTGCTGAAGAGCTCCTGAGATGCAGAAATTACACAGCACCTACGGTTCAGTAATGGGCACATGACAAAATCTAGCATGCCCGCACACATGCAACAATAAATTTATGTGAGCCACGATGGCTCTGGCGGCTCTGGCTCTGGAGAAGCCAACAACTCTTCAATCTCATCCCAGTCAGGCGGAGCTTCATTATCAATCTCGTCAAGCATAGCATCGATCTCTTCGCCAACCTTATTGCGGCCCGTCTTAGGCTTCTTTTTCTTCTGCAGCCAACCATCCATCCTCGGACGGAGAAAAGATCAGGCCAAACGACCACAAATCTCGGCATGTTGATATGCACTAATGCAGCTGGACACTTCGCTTTCAATCGATCCAGTCGTTCGTTATGCGAAGACCTAGCTGGGCTTATGTAGACTGATACTTTGAAAGGTCGCGTATGACCATGACACTGTGTATGGCCTAGCCACTCTGTCTTTGCTCGCAGCCGGCGTACTTTTGCACAGCCTTTCTTCAGAAGGCCGGCTATAACTTTGCGATCCATCTCCGGCAATTTCCCCGAAGCCGCATTGTCCACCTTGCTTTGATCAGCGGGGCTTTGTTCTACTGAGCTTGCATATATCTATACATATGTGTGTATATATATATATATATATGAAATTTGATTTCAAGGCACTGCGACTTCGAAAACTCGGGGGGCAGGAACCTGGTTCACCACCACATATCCTCGGAAGGCCAATTCAACAGCACAACATATCTCGACCAGGGAACAAGACGTACGAAACCAACAATATATCCAAGGGACGGAGGGATTCCAGCACACTGTCGAGGACGGAGAAGCCCTCGTGTTCGATCCAGTCTGTGGGCAACGAACTCTTCGGGTGGGCGAATCTCATAGCGTTCGGCCACATTTGCCCAACACCTCACCGTATTTATGTACAGAGCACGGAATATATCACTGGATCTCAGCGTAAGCACGAAATGTTCTGAGCTGAGAGCTTTTCAAAGGACGTAGAATTGGCTTGAGAGCCAACGTTATTGTCTTCACCACCTACAGTCTAGCTGGGCCACACCGTGCATGCTGTGCTCCTCGATCTGTCCTTGAGTTAATTTGCAAGCGAGCCACATCTTCCTCGGGGGATAGAGACACTTGTGCAGGATCGGCGCAAGGATTCTCCTCCTCTACGACAACTTATTTTTATGGAAAGTGCAGGAATCTGTCCCAGGAGTCCTCAGTCTCCATGGCTGCTGACTTTCTAAGAAAACACGAACACGAACCCAGTATTTTCAAGCTTCTGTGGCTTTGCCAGCGACCCGAAGGCCGAACTTCTACATCGATCTGCTCTATGACTCTAATCATAAGGAATTCCTCACATGCTCCGGTCCGTATGAGCCATGAGCCAGACTGCGATCCAACGTCATTTAGCCTGCTGCTCACACAGACTCACTCGGGCACAGCAGGGGCACTTGGAGCACCTGGCTTTGGCAAGACCAGCTTCAGCAGCTGGTTCATCCGCCATGATGCATTCAGCGCGTAACGGCATTATTTAAATCACGATATGCCCTGGCCCTTTAATGAATTGCTGCAAAAGGCTATAGTCTGCAGGTCTTGAGTCTCACGAATCTCGCATGGACTGACTGAGCCAGCTTCCGTGCAATCACCAGTTCCCGCTCACATCGATGCCCGCTTATGTGAACGAGAATATATGATGCTTATATGAATATCGTGAATAGAAGGCGGCTCCTATTGGAGCACCGACTATCCACATATATGGGGTTTAGGGAGTAGACAGGAAGAATCCCTATTGGGGCACCACCTGTCCACATATAAAGGAAATTAGGGTCTTTTTTTCTCAGCGAGTTTGAGCCAACCTGCAGCTGTACAGCAAACATACAGAAACCGTCTAAAAATATTGCTTCCGCTGGCCCCTGAGTGCCTGAACTCTGTACGTTTGTCCCCAAATATAGGGCTCACGGCGTCACAGATCGATACACCAAAGCTTGACAGCAGGCCTTTGGTTCCAAAAAATGCAACCGTCACTCTTTTTTCGGTGCTGCCATCCAAAAAAAGGCCTTTGCCCCAAATCGGTGCGAGTTGCATTTTTTTTTGGCGCCCGAGACTTCTCCGGGGTAGGAGATCACCCACACTTCCCGGGACCTTGTGAGGACCATTTGCGTCCAAGGTTACAAGGGTGATTTTATGGGATTTGCTGGTGCCTGCAAGCATGGTGCGAATTCTCGGCAGCGCCGAGGGCTCGACAAGAATGACAGCTTCCAGAGTAGAACCCGGTTTAAGTTCGTCCAATGCTTTGGCAATGCCATCCTGCGACAACAACTGCGCGCTCCAATCCTGCCTTCGGAGCTGGAAGGGGCCCTGCGGGGGAGCACGCTGAACCTTGGTCCAGCCCTCAGCATCACGAGGAGGCCGGTCGCCCTGCCCTTTGCCCTTAGGTCCAGACTTGGGTGGGGACGCCTCTGCACTGCCTTTAGCAGCACCCTTGGCCGAGCCCTTTGCAGCACCAGGCTGACCACCTCTGCCACCAGCTGCTTTGCCCTCGCCCGGCGCACGAGACGAAGGATGGCGGCTCGACTCATGGTTTTTTCGCTTGTTGCTGGGGTTAGGGTCAGGCTTATGGCGTTTGGGCCCTCGCTCCAGGTTCGGCTCCTGCAGCACAACACGGGGAGGGGTTGCCGGGGCACCTCCCATTGCATTTGCAATGGCTTCCTGCACAGCTTTCTGAATGAGCGCAGTGATCATGGGCATAAGCTGTTCCGTGATGCTGGCCATCATGCCCTCAAACGGGTTGCCGCCTCCAAACCTTAGGCCAGTGGGGCCCGAGCAGCCCTCAGGCAGGCAGGAGCGCGAGGCAGCAGCAGAGTCCTGGTCCTTTGTCACAAGAGTGCTTGCACAGGCAGAGGCAATCACGTCACTGGTATCCTGACCCAAGATCCCTTGCACTTGCACGTCACCACCCAGCCTCGAAGGGACAGGTGCACTCACAGATTGTGCCTCACACACAAAGGTTGGCATCAGGTTGCTAGGGGTCAAGTGGGATATACTCGGACCTTGCGGTCGGCCTGAACCCAAAGACCCTTGCAATTGCGCTCGGCCAGAAACCCTCGAAAGAGGCTGCCCGCCAGCAGGTCGCAGTCCACAATTGCGGTTGTGCATCAAGCCAGCAGAGCATACCTCGCACACACATGTTGGAAGCAGGCTGCTCGGGGCCAAATGGGATATACGCGGACCTTTCGGCCTACCTTGACTCACTGACCCCGGCAACTGCACACAGACAGGCGGGCTTCTTGGATCATACATGCCAGCATGGCACACGTGACACAGGCAGCAAGGCATCAAACTACCAGGGGCCACGCGGGATATACTCGGACCTTTCGGCCTGTCTTGACCCAGTGGCCCCTGCAGTTGCACACCGTCAAGATCGCTCTGAGTTTGCAGCGGTCCCGCTCTGCGCGTCGCAGGCACCTGGGCGCAGGCGCCATCAGAAAGACTCCCCACAGCCCGCATGAAACAAGCTTTGCTGGTGCAATTCGGACAGTGGTCCCTGGCAGCATGAGATGTATCAAGAAAAACCCGATCCGAGCCCTGCAAGTCAGCAACCAGTGGAACCTGACACATGCAAGAGGAGACTACATCGAGCCTGGCAGGGTCCCGGCCACACACATCAGAAGCTACATGCTGACTCTGAGGCAAGACCACACATGTCGGCACAGCATCTCTCCCTGTCAAGGGCTTGCAAGTGCACTCGGGAACTCCAAAAAGCACAGGAGGGCGTCTAAACCGAAAGGGTGAAGGGAGACCCTGATGAAGGCATTCAGCACCACACTCAGCACGGTCCTGGGACTGCTCGACGAGACCACGGTCCCCTCGACCCACTGATATGCACGCCGACGGCGGCCTGTATTGGGAAGGCCCCCGGAGCCCTGGGTCAGCGACCCCACCTCCTCCTGGCAAAAACTCCAAACCCGGATTACACCCACCGCCTGGGCTCCGGGGGCACGCTCTATTAGGCATCACAAGATCATCCCGATCAGCTGTTGCAGCAGTCTGGGCGTCAGGTACCCAAGGGGGCATTGGCCTAAACCCTAGGGGAGAAAGTGAGCCATGGTCAGTGCAGCAATGGGGCAGCGCATCGCCCCCAAAAGAAGACACGGGTACCCCTATGGGGGAGGACCTAAACCCTAGGGGGGCAGAGGAAGCACGGCAAGGGCAGCAGCCCCGGCAAGAATCGTCGTCGGCACCAGCGTCCTTGCCCTGCGCGATGAAGAACTGGCCACCACCGTCACCAGCCGCCAGCGAGCCCAGGCCATGGCAGCAGCACTGCGAGGAGGAAGAACAGGGGGGCTCCGGGGAGCCATGTCTACCACTAGCACAAGTAGCTGGCACCAGAGGCCCGGTCTCAGTCTCAATCTTTGCCCTTTTGCGGGTCTTGATAGCGCTGAGCTCCCACAGAACACTAAAAACACGGCCATAAAGGCTCGTCGTCCTACAGTCAGGCTCGCACTCACCATCACAATTGGCACTAGTTAGGCCTCTCAGGCTCTTTGCCCTTTCGCGGGTCTTGTTAATTTCTTGACACTCACAATCAGCACTAGCTAGGCCTCTCAGGCTCTTTGCCCTTTCACGGGTCTTGTTGATTTCTTGAATGTCACACACGGGGTTCTCAGCAGCGCAAGTCGACGTCCCACATGGCCCAGCACCAAGGTCCAGACCAGACGCTGAGGGAAGAAGCTGCTGCTGCGGCGCGTAGTAAAGAAATTCCTCAGAGAAAGTGTCCTCAATCAAGTGGAGCCCAAATGCTGCACTTGCCTGCGGCACGTAGTAAAGAAACTCCTCAGAGAAAGTGTCCACAATCATGTGAAGCCCAAATGTTGCACTTGCCTGCGTGTCAGAAGCATGCACACAAAGCTCACGCGCCAAAGGGAGCCCCTGAGCAGGGCATTCATCCCCAGCAATAGCAAGGGCATCCTCTCGACAAACACCCATGGAGAGCTGCACCTGAGAATCATCCTCGGCAGATGCAAGAGCGATCCCCGACTGCCAAGGATCTGCCACGGCAGCAGAGTTGCTGCCCCCACTGGTGCCATCTGAGCTGGCCCCCACTGAAGCCCCTGACCACAAGCCAAAGGCCCCTACTGCGCTCCACACCATAGTTCTCGGCACACCACGTTGAGCCAAGAAATCAAAATCCTTCTGGAACAGCTGAAGCTGAAAATCACGTGCTCGAACAATGAAAGCGCTCAGCATTTGCAGGCGCTGAGCCACCCACGGTTGCGCATCTCGGTCATTGCCAGACGCTTTGCCCCAGCTGCCGAAGCAGCTCTTTTCTTTCCCATTCACTTCTTTTCCCAACAAAGAAGCACCATCACTCAAAGCACAATTCATTCGCTTCAAAGATCGCCGTAAGTGTAGGTAGCACCCACAATCAAGGCCTCCAGAAGAAGGAGCCATGGCCCGAAGGCACGTGTGGGAAGTGTCAGCCCTGCACTCGGGAAAGTACAGGTTAACCAGCTCAAGGCACGCGGAGCCCCTCCCCACTTGAGCCCAAAACTCCAGAATTTCCGGTGGTCTGGGGGCTGAGCGACTTCGAGAAGACCGCTCAGCTGCTGTCCGAGGTCCTCGCGGGTCGGGTGAGACATCCCGCAACCTGCTGATACATCTAGGAGAGTGCGAAGCAGTGCAGCACAAGTCCAGAGCGATGATCATCAGCGACACTATTAACAAAAGACGAGGCACCATTAAGAGAGCCTTCGCCACACGTTGAATGGGAGGGAAGTCAGGTAGCCGCAGTCCGTCTGACATGAAACCTCCTCTTGTGAAAAGTAACGAATTGGATGTATCAGATTAGCTACGCAATCACATCCGGAAACATTCCGAGCAGCACAGCTACGGTTCGGAAAGAAGAACAACTCAAAACGACCTGAGCATCAAAGCAACGAGTCAGGTCCCCTGCACAGAGCAGCAAGGCTACAGGTCTGAGCAAGGTAAAAGAAGCTCGCGGGAGGCTCTCACATCAACTCAGAAGGCGTCGTCAGGGGAGCTCAGAGGACCTCGCCAGTCGCAGCCGCCAGCAGCCGCCCTTGTAGTTGACGAAGAAGAGGAAGTAGCGTGAACCAGCAGCCCACACCAGCAGCAGCAGCGCCAAACACAGTCGAGCTAGCCGCGCTAGGAGTAGAGCAAGTTCACACCAGGCGCACACGGATGGGCCACAGCCCCACAGATCAAGCATTGGTCATGAGAAAAGTCCTGGGACCAGCAAAGCCCGTCAGCAGCAGCATCACCCACTCACGCAGGCAGAGCCGCGCTCAGCAGAGGCTCTGAGCACACTCCAGGAGCACACGGGAAGCCCTAAGGGGAGCCTAAACCCAAAGAAACCCAAAAAGGGAGAGCAAGGAGAGCGCAGAGTCACGGAAAGCCAGGAAGGGTAAACCCCCGCCACAGCAGCAGCGTCACGCAGCAAAGCGAATCCTCGCTCAAACAGATTATGGTTAACGTAAGGCGTACACGGATGCCTCTAGGGAGAAGGTGGGGCCTAAACCCGAACAAACCCAAAGAGGAGCAGGCAGGAAGTGATAAAGCGTTCCGCCGAAAACGTGAAAGAGTGCGAGCTTGCAGAGAATTCCGCCAGCAGCAGCAGCGCCACACAAAGAAGCAAAGCCGCGCGCAGCAGAAGGCCTGAGCTCACGCAAGGTGCACACGGGTACCCCTAGGGGAGAAGGGCCTAAACCCAAGGAAACCCTAAGGGGAGGCGAAGGCATCGTCAAGGGCAAATCAAGGAATGAGAGGCCCAAGATGTGTTGTCCAAGATCATCCAGGTGCAGCCAAAATGGTCAGGGCCTGGCCCCTTCCGGCTCAGCATCATCGAGAGGAACGCTTTTCACATGTTTATCCAGCTTCTCGGCAGCAGCGGCCGCGATCCGGATGGTGGCAAGCTCCCAATCCCGAGCCTGATCACACTGCTGATGCCATCGCTCCCTTAGAGAGCCCAAGAGCCTGTTTTGCATGCAGTTGCCCGCCGCCTGATCTGCAGCATGGTTAAAGGCGCGGAGCACATCCGCATCATGATCCGGCGAAGGCCTCCAGCGGGGGTGCTTATTATGTGACGGCACCCAAATCAAGGAGATAGCACAGCCCCGCCTCTCCAGCTCCTTCCAGAGACGGCGCACGTCCCTCAGCAAGAGACCCAACGTGAATGGATCATCACCTTGACCCGAGATGGCCGTGAGGGCAGCTTTGCAGTCGGTCAAGATAAAGAGGCACGGCACGCAGCCCTCACTCCACACCCGGTGGACCGAAGCAAAGGCCGCGTGGAGGGCCAGAACTTCTTGCCGATACGGGGATTGATCCTCGGCCCCAGTGCCCATGGCATAGACACAAGACGGATCACCGATCACCACCGCATAAGCACCGACAGATAGATGGCTGGAGCCATCAGTAGCCGCATAAAGCCTGCTCCTGCCCGAGCCGAGTGCAGCACGGAAAGCAGCATCTAAGTCCGCCCGAAAAGCCCCACAGTCAGAGGAGGCAGGCGCCGGAGGTTTCAAGGGAGTCGACTTTGCAAACATGCGTTCCTCCGCTCGCGTCGTCGGAGGGGGGTGGTCCTGCCGGAGCGCCTCGGTGCACTCGCAAACCCAGGTCACATGCGGTCGCGACGGAGCAGTCGCGCCGCAGAGGCACTGCATGCGCCTGTGCTGCTCGTTCAAACCCTGCCCGGCCGTAAAGAACCAGCACGAGCCTCCCGTGACAGCAGCGGCCCGTCTCATATAAGGGGTGGTCGCCTCATGCATGGCAACACGGTGCCCACGAAAGCTGAAGCGCGCATCCCGCAACGGAGGCGCAAGATCCAGGCCGCGTGCAAGGCTCGGGTCCGGCCTATGAAAGCTCCGCCAGACGCCCTGGCATCTCTGCATGTAAAGGTGCCGGTAGTGGTCAAACAGCCAGCCCTTAACCTCAGCGAAGCTCTCCCATCCGACCTGCACCTCACGAGAGATCCCTAAGTCATCGCGGCAGGCGAAGAAGAAGCCGTCAGGGCGTTCAACCACGCTCCACCCCAATTTGCTAAGAAGGCCAGGCGCAGCAGGCAACAGCTGATCCCAGCGCTGGCCCCGGGCGTCACGCGGCTGCTCCAGAGCAAAGGCCGGAGGCTTGCAGAGGAGGCGCCAGGCCTCGCGGAGCACAGCAGAGTCAGCAGCACACTGTGGCTCCAGCATCCACCCCACATGTTCGAAGATCAGGACACGCGGGGCTTCAAAGGAAAATTGACAGTCAAAAACTCGAATCGCAGCATCTCTAACTTGCTTCATCTCGCCTGCCAGCGGCGTAGCGTAGGCAGCGGCCCACACCAAACAGGGGTAAACAAGCGATTTCAGCATGAGGGCCCGCAGTCGACTGCAAGCGGTCACCCAGCGCAAAAGGTCCATGCGCAGCAAAGCTTTTCTCAAGGAAAATTTCAGCAAGCCCCATTCATCATTAAAGGAAACAGTGACACCTAAAACTTCAAGGGTTTGCGAAAACTGATAGTTTAATCGGGCAGCCAGAGCAGGAGCCTCGACATGACCCTCTGGCGCCACGATCGCACACTTTGGCAGGGAAATTTCAAGACCACAAGTGCATCGAATCGGTCGGAGCGCCGAATCGCATGCTCCAGGTCGCCAAGATCCGCAGAGAAAGTCCAGAAGGAACGGTCGTCCAAGTAGACCAGGCCTGAAACCCCTTGCCTCAACACAGCCAAGGTCCAAAGGTGGCTAAATGCGGCAGCAAGGGTGGGACTTAAGGGACAACCCTGAGCTATACCCAAGCGGGGCTTAAACCAGGCATCACTGTATGCACCATCAAATTGGACGATGCGCGAAGCTCGCGTGTAAAAGGCCTTCAGCAGTGGCCAAAGAAAAGGCGGCGCGTTCAGATGAGAAAGGAGGACCTCAAGGGCTTCAAACTGGATGGCATCAAAGAACCCCGCAATGTCCTGTTGTACCGCAACATTAGCGCCACCGCGCATTGCAGCATTCAGCTGAAGCAGGGCACCCGACACCGACGTGCCCGGGATGCCACCGGCATCCGACGGAGACCTCCAAGAACCTATCCAGTCGGAAAGTTGGGCATTCAAAATCCTTGCTCCCGCACGCCAGACAGCTTGAGAGACGGTTAACGGCCTGAAGCCCCCCTTGATTTTCTTAATCATCACCACACGTGCCTGCGCCCACTAGGCGGGGACGTCACAACAAGCAAGGCACCGATTCCACAGCTGGGAGGTCCACACCCACCAAAGATCAGGCATGGAACAAAGCAGCCCAGGTTTCCACGCATCCGGCCCGGCAGCACGGTGCCGCATGGACTGCATTGATCGTCGGAGAGCCTCCGGCATAATGTTAGGCACAACCTCCAAGCTAGCGGGGCGCGGCAAGGGCCTCAACAGGTCACGCATGGCTTGCATGTCAACCGCCCGAAAGGACGCGGGACAGAGCTTCGCACGCAGGTCCTTCGCCACAGCTGCAACCGCGACCGCCGGATGTGCAGGGTCGCCCGGACTGGCAACATCCGGAAGCTGACGCTCCCAAGCAAGTTGCTCATCAGCGCGCCGCTTGACAAAAGACCGGGCACGAGGCAGGTCAGCACGCGTCCTGGTGCGCCACATTTGCTTTCTTGCCTCCTCCTCCTGCTGCGTGAAAGTCTCAATGAGCTGTGCAACATGTGGAAGAAGAGAGAGCTCATCGCCAGCACGGGCATAAGGCAGGCTGGGCACCTTCAAGCGCGTGGACCGGAGTGAGCGCCTGATACGCGCCACCAGCAAAGCATCGTTCGTCCGGTGGGAAAGAACCTGAAGCCTCGCACGGAGTCGCAGCAAAAGGCGCAGGCTCTCCGACTTCACAAGCTGCTTGCCAGCCCGTCCCGCGGCACTGTGGGCGACAGGCTCCCAGGAAGACGCACGAGGAACGCACTCTGCAGAGCACGGCTCACACAGCAGAAGCTCAGCGGTGTCCGACAAGAAGCGCCAAGCCCCGTCCAAATCATTCTGATCCAAGGCGCTCGCAAAAGGGCCAGCATCAATTTGAGCACATCTGGACTCCAAGTCAGAAGACTGGAGATCATCACGAGGTTTACATCGCTTGGGCCCAACCAAGGGGCAAGGAGCATCGAGGGCATACGAGTAGTGTACCCCCAAGTGGTCCGAAAAATCGCACGCAAAGTGATCCACAGAAACCGCAGGCAAGTCACGATGATTAACAGCAAAATCAATGCGACGAGAGCGCACTCCTTGGGCATTGACCGGGCCCGTGGCAGGAAGGGGCCGGCCACGCGCACATTCATCACCAGCAAGCACGGTGCCTTGCGAAATTAGCGATCCTAAGCGGCCTTGGGAAGGCTCAAGGTTGTAGTCGCCCAAAACCACAAACCTATAACCCGAGGTAACCGCACACGCCAAAACCTCATCCACTTGTGTCTGGGCAACTGGCTCGTTGCCGGCCTGGCCATAAAAGGCCACCACCAGGATGGTTTCATCAGTGGCACTCCGGGAGCTCGCAGGGAGCGAAGAATCATCCTCAGGGAGGGCTCGCAAATTGAAGAGTCCCGCCACGTGCCTGGTGGAAGCAGGACCCTTACACAGCTGGACGTGCCGAAAAGGAAAATCGCTGACCAAAGCAACCCGGCTGCCGAGATCCTCAGGAGCGCTCAGAGCAACATGCCGGCCATGCGCTTTCCACTGGTTGCGATAGCCGATGCCAGCCGTTTCAGGAACATTGACCTCGGACAACGCCACAATCTGTGGGGGGCCTTGCCGAAGCAGAGCATCTAGCAGCCCCACCGTCGACGTGCCACGCCGGTGAACATTCAAGCACGAAAGTCGAATCACACCGACGACATGGGGGCTCGCAAGGCCTTTTCAGCAGCAGCGAAGGCGAGCTCGCCTTGCTCTTTGCGAACAGAGGCAGGAGCAGCATCATGAAGCTTCTTATTGGCAGCAAGGGAGCGCAACCGAATCCACGCCCTCGCCTTAGCAGTGCGAGAAGGGCACTGTCCCTTGACCGACCGATGTTTCCTAGCGATCTCTGCAGAGGGGCACGGCGCTCGGCATTTGCGGCACACCCAAGCCGGGCATATGCGCAAGGGATACTTATCAACAGTATTGGTGTCCTTCCCAGCCTGGCGCGGCCACCCGAAGGCAGCAAAGTCCTGAGCCTCCAGCTCGCGCAGCACCGGCAGGAGCTTAGCCTTCTGGGCATTGTTGCGAGTGACACTGATCTTTGAGGCCCATTTGGTGGCCGAGTGTGATTTCGCTTCCTTGTTCCACACAGCCCAAGAGACGCGCGGGTGGGCCTGTGTTTTATGCTCCCGGCGAAAGCGCCACAGAGAGTCCTTGCCAAAGCGGGCCGCATCAGCAGTCGAGATGCCTGCCTGGCACCGTTTGCATCTCCAGTACGCCTCCTCGCCATCAGCGAGGTCACGAACACAGGAAGCCTTGCGGGCAGGAGCGAGCCCAAGCTTCTCCCCCGGATGCGAATCCAAGAAGTGCCGCTAATAGGCCGCATAGGCCTTCACAGGATCAGCACACTTGCGGCGAAAGGGACAAAGCCTGCATTTAGCAACTCCATCAGGGAAGGCTCGGCCGCGATTACGACGGGCCATCACAAGGGCAGACTGAGGCAGGGCCCGGCTGGCATGATGCAACCGCTCAGGTTGCGGGGCATCATCATCGTCCCACTCCGGCAAGGCAGGCATTTGAGAATGCACGGAAGCACCAGAAGAGACGGCTCGGGACCAGACCGTCGCAGCAACACCGCGAGCGCGCTTAAGAAAACTAAAACCAGACCGGGGGACAGCAAAACAATCGCCCCTTTGCGAACTCGGAACTGAAGCAACATGCCGGGATTGCGAAGCGGCCTTTCTGCTCGACGCGTTGGTGGCAGTCCACACAGTGCCCGCCTTCACAGAGGATGATCGGCTGGCCTTGGATCGGTTTGATCGGGCGCAAGCAGTCCAAACAATACCAGAGCACTGGGAAGCATCATCCCCTCCAGCCCGCAGGTCAACGACAGCACCACTCGTAACGGAGAAAACCTCCTCTGGGTAGTCTTTAGCATCCTTAGCTGGCAAAAGAAGCTCGATGTGCCGAGGTGTGTACCATAACACCAGCCTCCTTTTGCGCTGCTGCGCATGAAACGACATCGCACTAAAATTCCCATCGCGTGGGATCACAAGGATGTGGCAATCAAATAAACGTCCGAGAGCCTTCAGCTCGATGGTAGAGGCGTATGCAGATTCCGAAGCAATTAACTTGAGGTATTCCTCAAAGGCGTCCTCCGGAGATGCGGCATTTTCGCGCAATTTTTGTAGAGCCGGCCCGTGGCCGTCCCATTCCCCTATATATTGCGAGGCATATTTTCGTAAGTGCTCTACACAGCGCGCCCTCAAGTCCCTGTGGGAGTGCTCGGTTTTCTTAGGGCCCGAAAGCCAGTGGAGGCCACGCGCTATGGCGTGAAACAAACAGGCTCCGTCTTTCGGAGTCTCAATGAGATCACACCCCGAGGGGATTTGCCGATGCGAAGCCGCAACATGTTTGGCAGGGGACACCTCCTTACCGTCATCATCCAGTTCAGCGGGGACCTGAATTTTAACGGATTGGGGCTCCAATGCAGGCTTCTCCTTGGCAAGACAGGGAGTCGGCGCACATCGCAGAGGTCGCTGCTTAGCTTGCTTAGGCTTATAGGGTGCAACCGTGGCCCACAGCGTGATTTCATTGTCCTTCCCCGGCTCGCTCTCGACGATAGCACTCAAAGGAACCAGATCAAGATCGCCGTGTTTAAGCGTAGCTCTGAAGCGATACAAGTACTCAGCGCCAGTGCGCTTATGCTGAATCAAAGCCACATCCTTGAAGGATTGGTCCAGCACCTGCAGCACTTCCTTCTGTCCCCAGCTAGCCGGCACATGAGGGAAATTCCAAACACGCGGGACAGCCTGTGAGGGATCCCTAGGCCCTAGGCGATCTGGCGCCAATGCGTCCGCCCTGGGTGGCAAGGCCATAAGGAGCACTCATACGGAGGCCGCGTTCAAGGTACGCAGTCGGAGCTTCCCCCTTGGTAACAGCAAGCCACTGCACAGTGGAGACAAGCTTGCCGCGCGGCACATCAACAAAAACTCCATCCCGGCCACTGACAGCAACGAGAGAAGACAACTCGGAGTCCAGGAGGCGAGCAATGCCAAACAACTGCAGTCCTTGCTTGCCAGCCTGCTGCTCCTCGACCCAACCCCACGTGTCACTCAAAGTGATTTGGTGAGAGCTTGCCCAAGAAGAAGCAGCACGACTCGGGTTGTTCTTCCAATGCTTGAATTTATCAGGCGTCATGTACATCTCAGGCACCTTAAAGTAGACGACCGAAGTGGACGCAGGAACAACTTTAATGGCCTTGGCCTTGTGCCCCGCAAAGCAAGGGACACCACCATCAGCAGGGTCAGATTTGCAATGTGTAATCGAGGCTCGTCGAAAACGTAGGAGATCACCCACACTTCCCGGGACCTTGTGAGGACCATTCGCGTCCAAGGTTACAAGGGTGATTTTATGGGATTTGCTGGTGCCTGCAAGCATGGCGCGAATTCTCGGCAGCGCCGAGGGCTCGACAAGAATGACAGCTTCCAGAGTAGAACCCGGTTTAAGTTCGTCCAATGCTTTGGCAATGCCATCCTGCGACAACAACTGCGCGCTCCAATCCTGCCTTCGGAGCTGGAAGGGGCCCTGCGGGGGAGCACGCTGAACCTTGGTCCAGCCCTCAGCATCACGAGGAGGCCGGTCGCCCTGCCCTTTGCCCTTAGGTCCAGACTTGGGTGGGGACGCCTCTGCACTGCCTTTAGCAGCACCCTTGGCCGAGCCCTTTGCAGCACCAGGCTGACCACCTCTGCCACCAGCTGCTTTGCCCTCGCCCGGCGCACGAGACGAAGGATGGCGGCTCGACTCATGGTTTTTTCGCTTGTTGCTGGGGTTAGGGTCAGGCTTATGGCGTTTGGGCCCTCGCTCCAGGTCCGGCTCCTGCAGCACAACACGGGGAGGGGTTGCCGGGGCACCTCCCATTGCATTTGCAATGGCTTCCTGCACAGCTTTCTGAATGAGCGCAGTGATCATGGGCATAAGCTGTTCCGTGATGCTGGCCATCATGCCCTCAAACGGGTTGCCGCCTCCAAACCTTAGGCCAGTGGGGCCCGAGCAGCCCTCAGGCAGGCAGGAGCGCGAGGCAGCAGCAGAGTCCTGGCCCTTTGTCACAAGAGTGCTTGCACAGGCAGAGGCAATCACGTCACTGGTATCCTGACCCAAGATCCCTTGCACTTGCACGTCACCACCCAGCCTCGAAGGGACAGGTGCACTCACAGATTGTGCCTCACACACAAAGGTTGGCATCAGGTTGCTAGGGGTCAAGTGGGATATACTCGGACCTTGCGGTCGGCCTGAACCCAAAGACCCTTGCAATTGCGCTCGGCCAGAAACCCTCGAAAGAGGCTGCCCGCCAGCAGGTCGCAGTCCACAATTGCGGTTGTGCATCAAGCCAGCAGAGCATACCGCGCACACACATGTTGGAAGCAGGCGGCTCGGGGCCAAATGGGATAAACGCGGACCTTTCGGCCTACCTTGACTCACTGACCCCGGCAACTGCACACAGACAGGCGGGCTTCTTGGATCATACATGCCAGCATGGCACACGTGACACAGGCAGCAAGGCATCAAACTACCAGGGGCCACGCGGGATATACTCGGACCTTTCGGCCTGTCTTGACCCAGTGGCCCCTGCAGTTGCACACCGTCAAGATCGCTCTGAGTTTGCAGCGGTCCCGCTCTGCGCGTCGCAGGCACCTGGGCGCAGGCGCCATCAGAAAGACTCCCCACAGCCCGCATGAAACAAGCTTTGCTGGTGCAATTCGGACAGTGGTCCCTGGCAGCATGAGATGTATCAAGAAAAACCCGATCCGAGCCCTGCAAGTCAGCAACCAGTGGAACCTGACACATGCAAGAGGAGACTACATCGAGCCTGGCAGGGTCCCGGCCACACACATCAGAAGCTACATGCTGACTCTGAGGCAAGACCACACATGTCGGCACAGCATCTCTCCCTGTCAAGGGCTTGCAAGTGCACTCGGGAACTCCAAAAAGCACAGGAGGGCGTCTAAACCGAAAGGGTGAAGGGAGACCCTGATGAAGGCATTCAGCACCACACTCAGCACGGTCCTGGGACTGCTCGACGAGACCACGGTCCCCTCGACCCACTGATATGCACGCCGACGGCGGCCTGTATTGGGAAGGCCCCCGGAGCCCTGGGTCAGCGACCCCACCTCCTCCTGGCAAAAACTCCAAACCCGGATTACACCCACCGCCTGGGCTCCGGGGGCACGCTCTATTAGGCATCACAAGATCATCCCGATCAGCTGTTGCAGCAGTCTGGGCGTCAGGTACCCAAGGGGGCATTGGCCTAAACCCTAGGGGAGAAAGTGAGCCATGGTCAGTGCAGCAATGGGGCAGCGCATCGCCCCCAAAAGAAGACACGGGTACCCCTATGGGGGAGGACCTAAACCCTAGGGGGGCAGAGGAAGCACGGCAAGGGCAGCAGCCCCGGCAAGAATCGTCGTCGGCACCAGCGTCCTTGCCCTGCGCGATGAAGAACTGGCCGCCACCGTCACCAGCCGCCAGCGAGCCCAGGCCATGGCAGCAGCACTGCGAGGAGGAAGAACAGGGGGGCTCCGGGGAGCCATGTCTACCACTAGCACAAGTAGCTGGCACCAGAGGCCCGGTCTCAGTCAGCCCCAGCAATAGCAAGGGCATCCTCTCGACAAACACCCATCGAGAGCTGCACCTGAGAATCATCCTCGGCAGATGCAAGTCCGATCCCCGACTGCCAAGGATCTGCCACGGCAGCAGAGTTGCTGCCCCCACTGGTGCCATCTGAGCTGGCCCCCACTGAAGCCTGACCACAAGCCAAAGGCCCCTACTGCACTCCACACCATAGTTCTCGGCACACCACGTTGAGCCAAGAAATCAAAATCCTTCTGGAACAGCTGAAGCTGAAAATCACGTGCTCGAACAATGAAAGCGCTCAGCATTTGCAGGCGCTGAGCCACCCACGGTTGCGCATCTCGGTCATTGCCAGACGCTTTGCCCCAGCTGCCGAAGCAGCTCTTTTCTTTCCCATTCACTTCTTTTCCCAACAAAGAAGCACCATCACTCAAAGCACAATGCATTCGCTTCAAAGATCGCCGTAAGTGTAGGTAGCACCCACAATCAAGGCCTCCAGAAGAAGGAGCCATGGCCCGAAGGCACGTGTGGGAAGTGTCAGCCCTGCACTCGGGAAAGTACAGGTTAACCAGCTCAAGGCACGCGGAGCCCCTCCCCACTTGAGCCCAAAACTCCAGAATTTCCGGTGGTCTGGGGGCTGAGCGACTTCGAGAAGACCGCTCAGCTGCTGTCCGAGGTCCTCGCGGGTCGGGTGAAACATCCCGCAACCTGCTGATACATCTAGGAGAGTGCGAAGCTGTGCAGCACAAGTCCAGAGCGATGATCATCAGCGACACTAATAACAAAAGACGAGGCACCATTAAGAGAGCCTTCGCCACACGTTGAATGGGAGGGAAGTCAGGTAGCCGCAGTCCGTCTGACATGAAACCTCCTCTTGTGAAAAGTAACGAATTGGATGTATCAGATTAGCAACGCAATCACATCCGGAAACATTCCGAGCAGCACAGCTACGGTTCGGAAAGAAGAAAAACTCAAAACGACCTGAGCATCAAAGCAACGAGTCAGGTCCCCTGCACAGAGCAGCAAGGCTACAGGTCTGAGCAAGGCAAAAGAAGCTCGCGGGAGGCTCTCACATCAACTCAGAAGGCGTCGTCAGGGGAGCTCAGAGGACCTCGCCAGTCGCAGCCGCCAGCAGCCGCCCTTGTAGTTGACGAAGAAGAGGAAGTAGCGTGAACCAGCAGCCCACACCAGCAGCAGCAGCGCCAAACACAGTCGAGCTAGCCGCGCTAGGAGTAGAGCAAGTTCACACCAGGCGCACACGGATGGGCCACAGCCCCACAGATCAAGCATTGGTCACGAGAAAAGTCCTGGGACCAGCAAAGCCCGTCAGCAGCAGCATCACCCACTCACGCAGGCAGAGCCGCGCTCAGCAGAGGCTCTGAGCACACTCCAGGAGCACACGGGAAGCCCTAAGGGGAGCCTAAACCCAAAGAAACCCAAAAAGGGGGAGCAAGGAGAGCGCAGAGTCACGGAAAGCCAGGAAGGGAAAACCCCCGCCACAGCAGCAGCGACACGCAGCAAAGCGAATCCTCGCTCAAACAGATTATGGTTAACGTAACGCGTACACGGATGCCTCTAGGGAGAAGGTGGGGCCTAAACCCGAACAAACCCAAAGAGGAGCAGGCAGGAAGTGATAAAGCATTCCGCCGAAAACGTGAAAGAGTGCGAGCTCGCAGAGAATTCCGCCAGCAGCAGCATCGCCACACAAAGAAGCAAAGCCGCGCGCAGCAGAAGGCCTGAGCTCACGCAAGATGCACACGGGTACCCCTAGGGGAGAAGGGCCTAAACCCAAGGAAACCCTAAGGGGAGGCGAAGGCATCGTCAAGGGCAAATCAAGGAATGAGAGGCCCAAGATGTGTGGTCCAAGATCATCCAGGTGCAGCCAAAATGGTCAGGGCCTGGCCCCTTCCGGCTCAGCATCATCGAGAGGAACGCTTTTCACATATTTATCCAGCTTCTCGGCAGCAGCTGCCGCGATCCGGATGGTGGCAAGCTCCCAATCCCGAGCCTGATCACACTGCTGATGCCATCGCTCCCTTAGAGAGCCCATGAGCCTGTTTTGCATGCAGTTGCCCGCCGCCTGATCTGCAGCATGGTTAAAGGCGCGGAGCACATCCGCATCATGATCCGGCGAAGGCCTCCAGCGGGGGTGCTTATTATGTGACGGCACCCAAATCAAGGAGATAGCACAGCCCCGCCTCTCCAGCTCCTTCCAGAGACGGCGCACGTCCCTCAGCAAGAGACCCAACGTGAATGGATCATCACCTTGACCCGAGATGGCCGTGAGGGCAGCTTTGCAGTCGGTCAAGATAAAGAGGCACGGCACACAGCCCTCACTCCACACCCGGTGGACCGAAGCAAAGGCCGCGTGGAGGGCCAGAACTTCTTGCCGATACGGGGATTGATCCTCGGCCCCAGTGCCCATGGCATAGACACAAGACGGATCACCGATCACCACCGCATAAGCACCGACAGATAGATGGCTGGAGCCATCAGTAGCCGCATAAAGCCTGCTCCTGCCCGAGCCGAGTGCAGCACGGAAAGCAGCATCTAAGTCCGCCCGAAAAGCCCCACAGTCAGAGGAGGCAGGCGCCGGAGGTTTCAAGGGAGTCGACTTTGCAAACATGCGTTCCTCCGCTCGCGTCGTCGGAGGGGGGTGGTCCTGCCGGAGCGCCTCGGTGCACTCGCAAACCCAGGTCACATGCGGTCGCGACGGAGCAGTCGCGCCGCAGAGGCACTGCATGCGCCTGTGCTGCTCGTTCAAACCCTGCCCGGCCGTAAAGAACCAGCACGAGCCTCCCGTGACAGCAGCGGCCCGTCTCATATAAGGGGTGGTCGCCTCATGCATGGCAACACGGTGCCCACGAAAGCTGAAGCGCGCATCCCGCAACGGAGGCGCAAGATCCAGGCCGCGTGCAAGGCTCGGGTCCGGCCTATGAAAGCTCCGCCAGACGCGCTGGCATCTCTGCATGTAAAGGTGCCGGTAGTGGTCAAACAGCCAGCCCTTAACCTCAGCGAAGCTCTCCCATCCGACCTGCACCTCACGAGAGATCCCTAAGTCATCGCGGCAGGCGAAGAAGAAGCCGTCAGGGCGTTCAACCACGCTCCACCCCAATTTGCGAAGGAGGCCAGGCGCAGCAGGCAACAGCTGATCCCAGCGCTGGCCCCGGGCGTCACGCGGCTGCTCCAGAGCAAAGGCCGGAGGCTTGCAGAGGAGGCGCCAGGCCTCGCGGAGCACAGCAGAGTCAGCAGCACACTGTGGCTCCAGCATCCACCCCACATGTTCGAAGATCAGGACACGCGGGGCTTCAAAGGAAAATTGACAGTCAAAAACTCGAATCGCAGCATCTCTAACTTGCTTCATCTCGCCTGCCAGCGGCGTAGCGTACGCAGCGGCCCACACCAAACACGGGTAAACAAGCGATTTCAGCATGAGGGCCCGCAGTCGACTGCAAGCGGTCACCCAGCGCAAAAGGTCCATGCGCAGCAAAGCTTTTCTCAAGGAAAATTTCAGCAAGCCCCATTCATCATTAAAGGAAACAGTGACACCTAAAACTTCAAGGGTTTGCGAAAACTGATAGTTTAATCGGGCAGCCAGAGCAGGAGCCTCGACATGACCCTCTGGCGCCACGATCGCACACTTTGGCAGGGATATTTCAAGACCACAAGTGGCATCGAATCGGTCGGAGCGCCGAATCGCATGCTCCAGGTCGCCAAGATCCGCAGAGAAAGTCCAGAAGGAACGGTCGTCCAAGTAGACCAGGCCTGAAACCCCTTGCCTCAACACAGCCAAGGTCCAAAGGTGGCTAAATGCGGCAGCAAGGGTGGGACTTAAGGGACAACCCTGAGCTATACCCAAGCGGGGCTTAAACCAGGCATCACTGTATGCACCATCAAATTGGACGATGCGCGAAGCTCGCGTGTAAAACCAGCCCGGGCCGTTCGACATCATAACAAGGGCTGTTCGGGCAACAAGCGACGATTAGCCTGAACGTTACCTATTGGGTGGATTTTAACATTGGGATTTTGGAGTGATGATTTTTTGAGCAGATTGTACCTTACCTGGAATTTTACAATCGTTTAAGAAACATGTTTGAAAACTTGCGGCGAGAGCGCCGATATGGCTGAAAATTTGCTGACTGGAATGAATAATCTCGACTCGCTGTCGAAACTGCTTCCAAAAGTTGTATCTGGGCAAGTCTATTGCTATTGTGGCTTGCAGTATATGCACACCTTTCGGAAAAAAAACATGTATTGGTTGTCGCGATCGCTGTCGCATTCCAAACTTCGTGTTTAGAATTTCTGTGTGCAAGTGAAAAATCTATAATTATATATATATATATATGTATATATATATATATGGACATGTACACATGCACTTTATAACCCGAACCCGCACAAACACACAGACACACACACACACACACACACACACACACGTGCAGACCGTGGGAGAGAGAGAGAGCGGGAGAGCAGAGAGAGAGAGAGAGAGTGCACCGTCGATCTGCAGACTCGGAATCTTTTTTCATCCCCTCCATCGAAGGCACGTCTGGAGCGAGTACTTCAAGCAAACATGTTTGCTCAGAAACGCAGGCATAGACTTGCTTGCCACCAGTTTAATACGGCGAATGAAGTCTTCGCTTAAAAAGTTGTGCAGGTATCGGCCGTTCAAGGGAAGCGTATCGAGGATGAAGTGCTCGATGTAGTGCTGTTTCGGTCGCATTGGCCACCGGCATACACCGGCATCCAGGGCTGCAGAATTCAGCTTGCTGTATCCGCTGCGAAAAATCATATACGACGACTTAAGGGCCTCAACCTCAGCATCGGTGTGCTTTCTTCCTCCCTGCAGCATGATGGTCTCGATATTCGCGAGAGAGATGCATACTCCCGCCCTGAGCCTTGGGATGGCGAGCTTGGGAAGGTTAGTTTAAAATAGGGTTTAAGGCTTAAGGTTTATAAGTTTATAGGGTTTAGGGTTTGTATGGAGAAAACCGTCACGAGGAAAACCATGTATCAAATCAGGCCGGAGGTCGCATAGAAAAGGTCGCCAGGATGCTGCTGCATCAAGTGTTTCAGAAGACTTGAGAGCCAGAATATAGCATATCTTGCGGCCGCAGCAGAGAGAATCTTCTGAGAGATTTGCAAGTAGTCCCTCGACTTCGGGTGGAGTGTCGCTGAAGAGAAGAGTCTGCGGGCCGCACGGTCAACCACTCCTGTCTTAAGAATCACTGCAGGCAGGTCCCGACTAATTTATTTGTCCGCCCTGCTCGAGCCTGATTCTTCGCACCAGCTGCGGTAACTCTCCCACAAGTTGTCCAGCTCAGCTTCACGTTGTGCTGCATTGCCATCCGTCAGGTCGCACAATATGCTCCCCAGAACATCGGGCACCACTGCCAGATATAGCAAGTGCATAGTGTCGGGCCAAATTCCTTATATACAGGGTTTGTAATTGTAGGGTTCGGGCTCGGGGAGTTTATAATTCTAGGAGCCCTGTAAACCCACAAAAGCAAAACAGTTAACATACATGCGAGCTTCGCCATGGATCAAATCCGGTCACCATCGCCAGCGGTGAGGGGCCATGCACTTCGCGAAATTCGTCTGCATTGGCAACCAACCTAAGGGAGTCGAGAAAGTGATCGACACTTTAAGTTGTAGGTGATACAATGTACCGAGCTGTAGAACTGAATAAAACGAGACGAGAAGCGTTTGCCGGTGTAAGGCCTGATGTCCGAAACTCGTATACAGCATGTTGGGATCATTGGGGGCATTCTCGGGATCACCATTGACGTAGGTCCATTGAATCGCCTCCCGGGACAGGGTTTGCGAATACTACAATTGAACATAACAAGTGGGCCCCGGCCTGACATAAAAAACACATCATCTTTCGCGTGTAGTCGCCTGGGTGGGGGGGGGGGTACAGTGCTGCATGTTAACACGTGTAGGGTTTGAGGTTTATAGGAGTTATTATAGGGTTCGGGCTTAGGGTATACAGATCAAGTCAAGTTTCGCTTCAAGAACAGAATCCTCTTCACGAATTCCAAGTCAGCTTGTATGCCGTCGAAGATGCCACAGGTGGCTGCACCAGATGTTTCGACTAGGTTTGCACCGGCCTTCTTGAAGCGATGTGGCTCGTAGCTTTTGCTGAAGGGAACATCCCAAGGATCAGTTGCGGGAAATTTTCCACGAGCTAATGCTTCCAGGCTCCAAGCAATCGTCTCAAGTATCTTCTGGCGGGTCTCGTCGCCGTGGTAGCACATGTTCAAGCATGACAACCTGCCAATCAGTCATGCTGGCGGTCGCCGCATATGTCTCAAGTAAATCTGATCTGCAGTCCAGTCGCAGGAACCGCCCGTCCAAGGTTGTCGAGCCATTGGTACTCAAGGGAGCCATCATGCAGAACATCTCGAACTTTTGCTTTTCTTGGATTAGAACAGGATCGCACAAGTGCAGTCATGAATGTTGATGCGAGCACAACACTTATTTGCAAACAGGCTGCTGGTGAACTCAGCCCCATCGCCATATAGGCGTATCGGAACACATTCTCCCCAATCGGATGCCTGAGTTTCTACATCTCTTTAAGACTGCACCTGCGAGACACCTCATGCCCCGGAGCCTTAAGGATCGGATGATTCTGGACCCACCGCTGATCCTGATCTGCCCAATAGTCCCGAACCTTGGATCAGGCAAGGCGTTGTGAGAGATTTGGGGTTTAGGGTTTAGGGTTGTTCCGAGGTTTAGGGTTGTTCCGAGATGTTTAAACACTTTGAACTTCTGGGGTCCAGGTAGCTTGCTGCGTATTCTCATACAGCAGATCTGAATGAGAAGTAGCATGCAACGAGGCGAAGATCTCGTGCGGGAGGAACAAGTGGTGGTCGAGCTTTCGGGTCCTAGCCCCACGAGCATCGCTGTAGGAGGCGATCACCGGAATCCTTGGTTTTCTGTTCGGATGATAATGTATATGGTACGGACGTAGCAATGCAGCTTGGGTTCCGAAATGTTTTCGGCAGTGCCTGCCGCCAAGGTTGTTTAGCAACCCATCTTTCCAAGAGTCGCATCTGCCCCCAGGAATTAGTCTGTCCATTCAATGACGTGGATAAATCCAGCAAGTCTGGCCTTGATCGAAGGCTTGGGATCCCGGGCACCGGCCAACTGTACAAGTTCAACAATTGCAGTCGAGGTGCGGGACCAACGAATGGGGGAGCCTGTAGATCCTCTGCATCGATTTGATCATCTCAGCCAGCGGAACCTTCAATGTTTTTTTTAGGGATATTGCTTCGACAATGCATACAATCGCTGGCCTGTCCATTGGCAAGTTGCCCCAGGGCTTGGTCGCAGGTTTCTCGCACATATTCTCGCATGTAGTCGCCATCGGCAGACATTGTAACATCGCCTTAAGAGGTTCTGCATGTTTCTCGGTTTCGGGTCTGAATGAGTCATATATAAGGGGCCAATGAAAAGGTTTGGGGCGTAGGGTTTCAGGAGTTGTCCAGTGCCAATGGGAGTTTCAAGGGTTTGGTTGTCTTTTTAGGTTTGGGGTTTAGGGGTTTGGGGTTTAGGGCTTATAGGGTTTATAGGGTTTAGGTTTTATTTGTTTTTTTCGGGCTTGCATGGGCCACCAGTGCACAACTGGGCCACCTGGATCTTGCCATGTACTCACCATCGGACATGGCAACAGCAGCTCGCACATGTACTCGCCATGGTTCGCGGATTGGGGAGTTACATCAGTTAGAGATATATAAGGTACAGGGTTTAGGGTTTCAGGTTGGGGAGTTACATCAGTTAGAGATATATATAAGGTACAGGGTTTAGGGTTTCAGGTTGGGGAGTTACATCAGTTAGAGATATATATAAGGTACAGGGTTTAGGGTTTCAGGTTGGGGAGTTACATCAGTTAGAGTTTGGGGTTTATAGGGTTGCAAAGGTGTAGGGTTTACACGGGCCGTCAGTGCATGCCACATGTTTCGAATCCACACATTAAGGGCCACCTGGGCAAGCTGAGGCGGGGCGTGTTGGCTGATCGATCCACTGCGACTTCATGCTGCATGGTCTATATGCAGGCAGCAGACGTTTCCCGAACTATTTTTTTGGCGGACTCATCAAGAGCTTTGCAGTCGCAGGAACACAGCACCCATGCATACGTGTATGCATGGTTGGACAGGGCCGAGTGTTCGGTGACCCCGGCAAAGCAAGTGTGTACATATATGCACAGCATGCACGACTATCTAGACTGCCTGCTGCATACCATTGACACTCCGGCCCTGCAGACCCAAACAAAGGAAGAAAGTCTCACTTCGCCCGCTTTGCAGGCGGCTCCTCGTCCTCTGGCCAAGGATCGTCATTCGGTGGCGCCTCGGGCTCCTGGGCAGCATCATCATGGTAGTCCTCTGGTTCTTCATCCTCATCATCGCCGCCATTCTTTTTCTTCTCTTCCTTCTCTCGCTTCCGTTTCTCTGCTGCCAGGCCTGCATGATCAGCAGACAACCATTATTGTGAATCATGTGCACATGCCATGTTTGAAGCCAAAGTACGTCTCTTGTGCGAGTCGACGATGTCTTCGGCATTGATGATGACGTTTTGTTTCTCCTGCAGGGCATATTAGGGTTGTATACTTAAGGGGCGTGGGAATCCTAGGGTTTTAGGGTTTGAGGGTTTAGGGAGTCGAGAGACATTGCAGCCTGCAGCTCCGACTTGTAATTCTCCAGAGCATAGCAGCAATCATCCAAGGGCTTGCAGGCGAAGACCATGCTCTGAAGCCTCGGATCGACACATGCACACATGACTCAGGCACGGCCATCTGATGCGGAGCTCGCCACGGATCGATATAATGCCACTCCGAGCATCTCGTTGAAGATGTAGGTGCACTCTTGGGCGATCTTGCCGAGGTGCTCCACCATTTTCTGAGGTGCAGTATAAGTACACTTTCGGGCTTGGTTTCAGGGTTTAGTTTAGGCTTCAAAGGTACCCCGAACACTTAACCCGGAACTCTACAAACCCACTAGACCTAAACCCTTCAACCCCAAAAACCAAGACCCTAGACCCTAAACCCCTATAGGACCTCAGGGCAGGACTTGAAATTCATGCACAGCAGACAGCCTCTTGGTTCTGGATACCAGCAGAAGTGATGGAGGTCGCCAGCAGGACTGCTTTGTCCGACATATTTCGCACCCTGGGAATGCATTGCACTGAAGCATATATGCATGACAATAAGCAAGCCAAGCGATCGTATATTTAGGCTCGGAACGACGTATGATCTTTTTGGAAGTCCCTCTGCTGCTTCTCTTCGGCCGTCAGCTCCTGATCGAGTGTTCATTTACAATCAGGGTTTAGGGTTTAGGGTTTAGGGTTTATAGGGTTTAGGGTTTTCAGATATAGGACCCAGGGTTTTGGGGTTTAGGCTTGCGAGGGCCATATGCACATGTAGAGGTGCACACAATGTCCTTCTTCGGCTTTGTTGGGTTTTTCTTTGGCTTGGCGTCTGCAGCCACCTGCCTGCTGCTCATTTGAGCAACTTTCTGACCCAAAGTGTCAGCCAAGGCCGCTCGTTCTGCACTGTTGTTGCTGGGCTTGATGGTCGCCGAAGTTTTTGAGCCGACCCTGCTGATCTGGGCGCCTCGGCAGGATGTGAAATGGCGGATTCGGAAGGGCCGGGTGTTGCATGGCATGCAACAAGTATATCTAACATGCGGTCTAGAGTCTGTCGAGGTCGACACTGACGAAAACTTTGTACAGCCGCCACTCGGGATCGCTCGTTTGCGGGTGCTCTTTTCCCTTTTGGTTCGCCAAGAGGTCTTTGATGAACTGTTCACCACCCGGCAGATGGCCATGCTTTATGCGAATTTCGCACAGCGGCAACTCCTGGAACTTCTCCGTGTTCTTCGATTCGCTCAACCTTAATTGATCAGTTGCAACAGTAACAGCGATCACAATTCAGGGCTCGAAAGTACAGCATATTCTGAGACCAGGTAGCTCTTCAAAGTACGGTTCGATCTGAATCGCAGACATATCGCGATCCAGGAGGTAAGCTTTCAGGAAGGTAAACCTGAGATGTGGGGTCGTCTACACCAATTCAGAACCCACAACTAATTTGCGACCTGGGCACTTGTCTGTTGCAGACGTAGCCGCTTGCCACTGCTCGACCAATCCTTTTCGTAGTCCTCGATGCACAAAGGATACATCTGCAGGGGCCTAGGTTGCTAAACCTGGCTGCGAACCTTGTGGATTTTTCACGCGGCGTCGGAGGCCCTCGTTGAGCCGCTTTCGCTCTTGCAAGTCGATATCCTCAGGCCTTTGCAAGGCCTCAGAATCGACAGATCGATAGGGATGACCTAGATATTATAATTGAAGGAGTCTAGCTATCAATTTGATACGTGGATGGAAGCAAGCCACTTCAATCTCCAGTCGCTGCTCGTCCGTCAGTTTTCGAGCCTCAGGTGCACATTCTAAGGCTTGTGGGGTTTATGGGTTTAAGTGTTGGGGCTGAGAAGTGTGTGCCAAGCAACAGCATTCGGGTTCCCCGGGAAGACGAACCCCGGGCCCTGGGCCGGGGCGTCCTGCATCTCATCTGGTGTGTCGGTGGCCCATGTATCGGTGGTGTCGCTCCGGCGGGGCCTGGTGCATTGATCGGCAGCAAAACTCGCAAGGCTCACAGCAACCAAAAGGCCGGGGTGAAAATTAAGCCCGGCGACTTCTTAGAAATCTCATCGTTCTCGGAGGGCACTGTTTTGCCTCGCGACAGCACAAAAAAAATTGATTTCATTCAAATCGAGCGAGGACCCTGCCCCTTGAGTTAACTCGGCCTTTGGATCCACCTTTTCCAGCCGCATCATGCAAGGCCCTCTTGGTCTGGCCAGCATTGCCAGGAGTCGAGCCTCGACCAGCTTGATTTCAGGGGGGGTTTGGTTTTATGGGGTCTTACGACACCAGTGGGGTCTTACGACACCAGACATGTTTACGATGTGTGTGCGTGTGTGTGTGTGTGTGTGTGTGTGTGTGTGTGTGTGTGTGTGCGGGTGTGTGTGCCTCCGGAGAACAGCTGTCGCATGCCTTCGGCGGTCACCAGGCCGAAGGTCTTCTCGTCGCCTTTGTCCTTTCCTGTTCCCTTGCCCTTCTCTTTTCCTTCGTTTGCCGCCTTCTCCTGGCCCTTCTCGGAAGATTTGCCCTTCCCCTTGCCTTTTCCCTTCTCCTGGCTCTTGCCGGCAGACTTGCCCTCCTCCTTTCCTTTCCCCTCCTCGTGGCCCTTCTCGGCGGCAGACTTGCCCTTCTCCTTTCCTGTCCCCTTCTCCTGGCTCTTGCCGGCAGTTGTGCCGGTGGTGGCTGGTTCCTTTCCTTTTCCCTTCTCCTGGCCCTTCTCGGCTGACTTGCCCTTCTCCTTTCTTTTCCCCTTCTCTTGGCTCTTGCCGGCAGTGGTGGCTGGCTCCTCTCCTTTTCCTTTTCCCTTCTCCTGCTGGCCCTTCTCGGCAGACTTGCCCTTCTCCTCCTTTCCTTTCCCCTTCTCCTGGCCCTTGTCGGCAGACTTGCCCTTCTCCTCCTTTCCTTTCCCCTTCTCGTGGCCCTTGCCGGCAGCTGTGCCGTCAGTGGCTGGCTCTTCTCCTTTTCCTTTTCCCTTCTCCTGCTGGCCCTTCTCGGCAGACTTGCCCTTCTCCTCCTTTCCTTTCCCCTTCTCCTGGCCCTTGTCGGCAGACTTGCCCTTCTCCTCCTTTCCTTTCCCCTTCTCGTGGCCCTTGCCGGCAGCTGTGCCGTCAGTGGCTGGCCCTTCCTCCTTTTCTTTTTCCTTCTCCTTCGACAGACCCTTCTTCTCCTTTCCTTTCCCCTTCTCCTGGCTCTTGCCGGCAGTTGTGCCGGTGGTGGCTGGTTCCTTTCCCTTTCCTTTTCCCTTCTCGTGGCTCTTGTCGGCAGACTTGCCCTCCTCCTTTCCTTTCCCCTTCTCCTGGGCCTTCTCGGCAGACTTGCCCTTCTCTTTTCCTTCCCCCTTCTCTTGGCCTTTGCCGGCAGCTGTGCCGGTTGTGGCTGGCTCCTCTCCTTGTCGTTTTCCCTTCTCCTGGCCCTTATGGGCAGACTTGCCCTGTTCCTTGCCGTTTCCCTTGTTCTGGCCCTTCTCGGCTGACTTGCCCTTCTCTTTTCCTTTGTTTGCCCCCTTCTCTTGGCTCTTCTCAGTAGGCGTGCCCTTTTCTTTTCCTTTTCCCTTTCCTTTGTCCTCGGTGCCTTGCTCTTCTGCTTGGCCTATAGACACAAAGTCACGAAGGGTAAACAAGCATGTGTTTTCCGTGTATGCAACCAATGTTTTTTTCTTTGTCTTCTCTGTGTGTGTGTGTTGCAGCACACACGTGTGCTCTCTCTCTCTCTCTCTCTCTCTCTCTCTCTCTCTCTCTCTCTCTCTCTCTCTCTCTCTCTCTGTGTCTAGACACAAAGTCACAAAGGGTAAACAAGCATGTGTTTTCCGTATATGCAACCAATGTTTTTTTTTTTTTTTGTCTTCTCTGTGTGTGTGTGTGTGTGTTGCAGCACACACGTGTGCTCTCTGTGTGTCTATGTGTATATATATATATATATGTATACACATATATATATAGATACATATGTGTGTATATATATATACGTAGTTGATCCGGCCTGTTGCCCAGTGTCCCCAATCTTGCCACATCCTTTCCTTCTCCTGAGCAGGCCTACTGCGGTCCACCTTGGCATTCCAGTCCCAGCCATCCTGACTCCACCCATAGCCCGACCATCCTCCCCAATTCCTTTCCATGGCTGCCCGGATGGACCCTACGGTGCTAAAATAGTAGAACAGTAGCACCTGTTGCGAGGGAGTGAAGCTACATTGGCGATTTAAGCTACGATCGGCATAAGCTCTAGCTGAGATGTCAAGTTGGAGAACTCGATCACAGGCCCCCGGGAGATACACGCAAATACACGCTATTCGACTCCTAATAAGCAACGAATACACGCAAATACACGCTAATACACGCTCGGTCCTGTCGCTTGCCAAAATCGTTTTCCACCTACCGACGATCGCTCGAGTGAAACCAGTAGCACAACACTGCGTATAGCACATGCCCCTCGAGGCTCCAGGGGTCCTATAAACCCTCAGCCCTAACCCACTGTACTCTGTTGCAGCCAAGTCGGGGGTCATTGCATCTGATCAGGATATATATCAGTGGCCATCAGCATCAATCGGTGGCATCGAGGAGATGATCCTGGACGGACGGGGCTACCACTGCATCTAGAGAGTCTGTGGGTTTGTGTAAAGTATAAATATAGTAGTAGTAGTAGTAGTAGTAGTAGTAGTAGTAGTAGTAGTAGTAGTAGTAGTAGTAGTAGTAGTAGTAGTAGTAGTAGTAGTAGTAGTAGTAGTAGTAGTAGTAGTAGTAGTAGTAGTAGTAGTAGTAGTAAGTAGTAAGTAGTAAGTAGTAAGTAGGAAGTAGTAAGTAGTAAGTAGTAAGTAGTAGTAGTAGTCGTCGTCGTCGTCGTCGTCGTCGTCGTAGTGGTAGTGGTAGTGGTAGTGGTAGTGGTAGTGGTAGTGGTAGTGGTAGGTGGTAGTGGTAGGTAGTAGTAGTAGGTAGTAGTAGTAGGTAGTAGTAGTAGGTAGTAGGTAGCAGTAGTAGTGGTAGTAGTAGTAGTAGTAGTAGTAGTAGTAGTAGGTGGTAGTAGTAGTAGTAGTAGTAGCAGCAGTAGCAGTAGCAGTAGCAGTAGCAGTAGCAGTAGCAGTAGTAGTAGTAGTAGTAGTAGTAGTAGTAGTAGTAGTAGTAGTAGTAGTAGTAGTAGTAGTACTAGTAGTACTAGTACTATAGTACTAGTACTAGTACTAGTATAGGAATAGAAAAAAATATATATATATATATATATATATATAGTATATGGAAAAGTACAATTAGAACAAAACCGGAGAGTAAAGTAGGGGTCCAGGCGAGAGTAGAGCAGGGTCTAGTAGCAATAGTATAGTTATGCAAGTTGCAGCCATGGTAGAAGTAGCATGGGTGTGTGTGTGTGTGTCTGTGTGTGCGTGTGTGTGCATATGTGATTGTACCGGTGGTGGCATATATACATGTATACTGCAAACCCACAAACCCAAAGTTATTTGACCTTACCCTTACACTTAAACCTTAAATTTGCCCTGTAGAACCCGGCAATAAGCTAGGATCCCAGAGGCGGAGGTCGCAGCCCATCATCCAGATAATCCAGCCAGCAGTTGGCGCCTCCGTTCATTGGTTCTGAGGACCACAAAAATGGCTATTTATTGGTAGGGTTTAGTGTTCAGATAGTAGTAGTAGTAGTAGTAGTAGTAGTAGTAGTAGTAGTAGTAGTAGTAGTAGTAGTAGTAGTAGTAGTAGTAGTAGTAGTAGTAGTAGTAGTAGTAGTAGTAGTAGTAGTAGTATAAAGGGGTCCCAGATAGGAGCTCCGGAATCAGAGGCCCTATAGAGTCCAATGGGCTCGGATCATTTTGAAGGATGTAAGGGTTCAGGGTTTAGGGGTTTTGGGTTTAGGATGTATAAAGGGTGTCTTGATTTGTCTAGGAGGTTACCAATCAGGGTCTCGATCAGGCTCCCTGAATCACAGCTGAAAGCCACCCGATAGACACAATATCCAGCCCCCGAACTAACCCTAACACACTGAAGAAGGTTGGGGGTCTATAGGGTTTTAAACCAAGCAACAAGCCAAGGCACAGAGGAGCCATCGAGATCATCCCGCATCCGGTCCTATGTGGAGGGACAGTTTAAGGTATTTTGCAGGTTGTGCTCTCGGGCTTAAGGCTTCTAGGATTTATAGTTTAATAAACCTATATGGTTCGTAGTCGTGGGATACTACTACTTCTACTACTACTACTACTATACTACTACTACTACTACTACTATACTACTACTACTACTACTACTACTACTACTACTACTACTTATGCTTCCCTAATGGACCAAAAGAAGAACTAAATCTCGAGCCTAAGCTTCAAAGCTACCGGCTTCTCCGCCACGAAAGGGCATGCATGTGGTCCGCAAAATCACAATCTGTAGAAGACACATTTAAGTCCCGATGATCGCGACCAAACCTAAATATGTGCGAATGATACAGAACTAGCAGTCGATTTTCGGCAATGTCTTCACAGATTGCGCCGCCGCACATGCCAGATCATGCCTCAGCATGCTCGTTCTGGATGCCGCACTAGGCTGAGCTTGATCTCAAATTTCAAGATCAGATCGTAGCATACATACGTATCTAAAGCTTATAGCAGCAGCAGTAGTATAGTTGTTGTTGTTGTTGCAAGCAGCAGCAGCAGCAGCTGCAGCAGTAACTGTATAGCCGAAGCAGGAGCAATATCGTAGCATTAGAAATAGTGGACCCCATGATGTAACGTAGCGTGCAAATCTCCCTCGTCCATTTCTCATAGAAGCCCAGATCACAAGCATCATGCTGTTGAGACTGCCAAATTGTCGGTCTCGCCGTCGTCGTCGTATAGTAGAAGCACCAGCAGCAGCAGGAGTAGTAGTAGTAGTAGTAGTAGTAGCAGCATCAGCAGCAGCAGCAGTAGCAGGAGTAGTAGTAGTAGTAGTAGTAGTAGTAGTAGTAGTAGTAGTAATAGTAGTAGTAGTAGTAGTAGTAGTAGTAGTAGTAGTAGTAGTAGTAGAAGCACCAGCAGCAGCAGGAGTAGTAGTAGTAGTAGTAGTAGTAGTAGCAGCAGCATCAGCAGCAGCAGCAGTAGCAGGAGTAGTAGTAGTAGTAGTAGTAGTAGTAGTAGTATAGTAGTAGTAGTAGTAGTAGTAGTAGTAGTAGTAGTAGTAGTAGTAGTAGTAGTAGTAGTAAATCATCCGGGTTTACCTTTCGGGGCTTTCGGGTTCGGGGTTTGGGATCCGGGGTTTATGATTTACCTTCTGCGGGGTTTCGGTTTGCGGATCTGGAGTCTAGGGTTCACCTTTTTGGGTTTTCGGGCTTGGGGTACGGGGTCTGTTTTGTTTGTGGGATATTTCACTGGCCGCCGGTGTCAATCGCTGATAACACCCCAAAAAAAGCACAAACAAACCTGGACCCTGAACCCCGAACCTTTTCAACCTTCATCCCAAACCCTAGCCCTGCAGAAGACTAGAAGCACTATCGAGGGAGAGCTGGGTATCCCGGGCCAACAGGGAAGTAGTTATGAACGTGTGATGTATGGATCTGTGTAACAGTGTAAGACTGCAAGCCGAGGCACATCACCACTGACGACTGCTGGCGATGAATCCAGAAGTCCACCATCGGCTCCATGCAGGTGCCTAGGCTGGGCATGCTTAGTCTTGTCTCAAGAACGAATCTCCATCCTGGCACGATCGCTTCGACTTCTGCTATAGGATGGTGAAGCCCAGCGACTATATATGTAGAGCCGAAGCCACGGAGCTCCCGATAACCAACACCAGAGCTTAGGATCTTGTCTGGTTTAGGATTTAGGATTCTCGGGTTTGGGGTTTAGGTTTCGTGCGGGGCTGTGGGTTGGATGCGACCACACTGCAAGTATCAACAGCTGTCGCCGGGTCGTGCAAGCATGCAGCTCATGTGCTGGAACAAGCAACAGCCATGCTCGTGATGTAAGCATGCACTTGAAAGCCATTTGTGCAGCAACCTTTGCCCCAGGCTTTCGACTTCAGAAGCAGGCGGCATGCTGCGATTGCAACAGGCCGAATTTGGGGCGGGAGTCATGAGTGCAATCCTGTTGTGCATCTAGAGCTACAGAGTGCAGCTTGATGTCATCCATGATCCAATCCCCAGACTCGAAAATAAAACCTCGTGAGAAAGCCTTTGGCTGCCTCAGCTAGATGTACCGTCGTTTCTTCTGTTCCTGTTCGCTGAACAACGACAGCACTTGCTGTCGCTCCTCGGAGGCCTTCCACAAAGCTTCTTTCTCGTGTTGTTTCAACTTCTTCGGACACCTCAGCCAGATCGATGCAATGAACCAAACTCTGATGCAGTGAACGGGCACGAGCACATTATATATTTGCCAAGAATCGAAGCCAAGAAGTTTTTTCGCTCCGTGCCGTAGGCCGTGTCCGACCGTGTGGGCTTTGGCTTGGCCTGGGTTGCGGGGTCTTCTGGAGGTGCTGTGGATGCTGCTGGTGAAGCTGCCGGTGGATCTCGAGATTTGTGCTTTGCTGCAGGTCGCAGCTTGGCCGGTTTGTTTGCTGCCACAAGCAGCCGCTGCTTGTGCGGGTTTGCAGGTCGATGCTGGCCACCAGTGCAAGCCTTCAGAGCCTCTAGCGGCATGCTATAAAGTGCATTCGGATCGATAGCTTCGAGCTGGAACTCCTTAGTTACAAGATAGGATCGGTCATCCTTGCAACAACCCTGTATATCCCCCGAAGCCAGCAGAAGATCAATAAGGGCAGCAGGAGTATTGTTGAACCAAGCTGCATCAGGACCAACCGTGGACCTCTCTCGAGCTTGGCCCTGCGACAGGGAAAAATGCGAATCGTCGTGGCGTGCAAGAACTTTACCGCCTCATGTTATAAGAAAACAATTATAGCCCGGCCTTTGTTGAAGGCTTTGCATTGGGATCGCCCAGCTCCCTCGGATTGTGGACAAAGGGGAAATTAGATGGGTTTGGGGTTTGGGGTTCGGGTCCGGAGTTCAGGGTTTAGGGCTTAGGGGATAAGCTGGGTGTGTAACAGAGTTTAGCGTTTTGGGGGTTATAGGGTTTAGGGGTTTAGGGTTTTTGTGTCGCCCCACCATCAAATCCAAGAGTCGCTTCTTCCACGGCCCCCATCAACCCCTCCTGAGATAGATAGGATGGCA